CTTACCGAAGGAGAATTTAAATTAGCCTAAATTGGTGTGGAATATGGAAAGACATGTTAAACAATGCTTAATATGTTGTTTGGCTATGGCTCAATGATAGAGTACAAGTCTCTATACTATGCTACCTATTTCAGAGTTTCCTTTGGCGGACAGGCCTTTAAAGAATTTTACTTGGTATGGATCGTATTGAAGAATCAAAATTTTTATGCGTATTCTTTTGGAAAGCTCAAGCCTAGAACTCATGGATTAATGATAAAGCATAACATATCAATCTTTTGGGAGATGACAACATTTCATCAAGTTTATACGCCGTTAACATGTCACTTTAATGTGTTGATTTAGATGCTTCCAATAAAAAAGGTGAAGCCCCTCTTGCTGGGGGATGATGTCGTGGGAGTCATAGATATTGCGAGAAGGTGGGATGGACCAACTTGTCTGCCCCACACTCGTGCTACTGGACAGGTTTGGGCTTCTGGCTTTTTGAGTGGGGCCAGCCAGCCCGAATGGGCTTACTGTCATCATAATTTGAAATAGATTTATGGTTTTATGATGTTTGAGTGTAAGTATCCAGTTTTGAGACTTGGAGGACTGTTGATTTGGTTTATGAATTTTGAGACTTGTTCTCTGGTTTCTTCCTTTTGGAAGTGCTGTATGGTTGCTCTTTCAAGTGGTGTAGCTTTTATCTTGTTAGAGTGCTGATGGTGGTCTCTTTTCGGACATCATTCTCCCTCTTTCCCCTTGCCGCCGGTCCCTTATCATACCTCTACAGCTGCCAACAGCTGCTGTTATTGCTGTCCTGCCCACGGTTTCTCACCAGAATCAGGTTATAATCATTTCCTTCGTTACCAACACACTATCTTTGGACCTGTGTCAATTTGATTTTGGCAATTGAATTTTTTCCAGCAGGGAAAACAAAATCATCAAAAGATAATGACATAGGAGTCGAACATATTGATGAGGAACTCCATCAAAATTGTTCAATGAATATTAACATTATTTTGATAGCCTCATGTAGAATGAATCCATGCTTAATTTATAACTTAATAGAGTATCACGCTTGGGAATAATAGCCATAGCTAAATGTGATATAGTAGTGTCCATGGGAATGGCGGTTGTAGTAAACTGGCTCACCGCAGCTCAATAGTGTAGCAATATGTTATAATGATATAGAAATGGGTACTGCAGCATCCGATTGTGTTTTGTATAGCATGACAGGAAATCCTCCAAGATTCATTCAGCTGAAAAGGTGGTTTTGGAAGTGGTCCATGGTCTTCGCTGATAACTGGGTTTGGTGCTTTCTTTTATGCCCATTTTCCTTTTTTTCCCTAGTTTTGGAGTTAAATATAAAAACTTTAATCCTACAACAAAATTTGACATATTTAATTACTTCCCAACATGAGAAAAACTTAGTTTGATAAATTCTTGAAACAAACTACAATACATTTGAAGTTGGAATTTGGCACACCATAAGAAATTATAATTATCTTCAAATATAAAGCTAGAAACATAGAATTATCATTATCATAACAACAAACATGATACTTGAGTTATAATTTGCGGGCTCTTAATTTTAAAATATAAATTTTTCTGAGAATAATTGCTGTTGTTTGTGTTTCATGTTATTTGGTGATATAATTCATTACTATCCAAATTTGAATTTTTTGTTTCTTATTATTTCTTTGATAATGTGATGGACACATTTTGAAATAAGCTATTTTATTAATATAAATTAAAGCATCCGACATAGTGAAAAATGAAAATATACGGGCGACTGCATGCCAACGTCGGTATGCCCACTTATCATTTTGTTATATTTTTTCCATTTGCTTAGTGCTTTCCCAGAAAAGAAAAGGCATTTGCTTACTGCTTTTTTCATTTTTTTCATCAATCCTTTGACTGCTGTCAAGAGTTCTCCTTCATTTAAAGTGGCTCAGGTTTTAAAGTTATTTTTATTTATTTATTTTCGGACCAACTTTTCGTAGCACATATTAACAAATTAAATAAAAAATATACTTATATTAAAAAAAAAAAACTAAGCTCGACATAGTTGAGCAACAACAACAACAACAACAACAACAAAGCCTTAATCCCACTACGTGGGGTCGGCTACATGAATCCCTTTTCTCCATTGCGTCCTATTTAGCGTCATATTTTTATTTAGTTCTAGTAAACTAAGATCATTTTTAATACAATAAGCCCAAGTCTTCCTAGGTCTACCTCTGCCTTTCTTAACACAAGTCGAATTTAAAACATCTACTCTCCTAATCGGATCATCTAATGGTCGACGTTTAATATGACCAAACCATCTAAGGCGACTTTCTCTAATTTTGTCTATCACAGGAGCTACACCAACCCTATCACGAATATATTCATTCCGCATTTTGTCTCTAAGTGTAAAGCCACTCATCCACCTAATCATTCTCATCTCGGCAACACTTAACTTATTATTATGCTTCTCTTTTAAAGGCCAATTCAGCGCCATAGAGCATTGCAGGTCTCACCACCATCTTATAAAATTTTCCTTTCAGTCTTAGCGGTACTTTTCTATCACACAAAAGGCCCGAAGCATTCCTCCACTTCAACCAACCAACTTGAATTCTACTATTAACATCCCCATCTATATCACCATCGCTCTGAACAACGGACCCAAGGTATCTAAATCGTTCACATCTTTTAATAATTTGATCACCCAAAGTCACACTTCTGTCACTAGAGCTATTACTACTAAAATTACATTCCATGTATTCAGTTTTAGTTCTACTTAAACGAAGGCCTTTAGACTCCAATGTAGACCTCCATAATTCAAGTTTTTCCTGGGCTTTTTCTCTCGTTTTATCCACGAGAAGAATATCATCAGCAAAAAGAATACACCAAGGTACATCCTCTTGTAGATGTCCAGTAAGACCATCCATAACTAAAGCAAAAAGATATGGGCTTAAAGTCGATCCCTGATGTAAACCAACAGAAATAGGAAAATATTTTGTCAATCCTCCTTCAGTTTGAACACAAGTAACAGCTCTAGTATACATATCTTTAATGACTTGAATATAAGTCAAATCAACACATTTCTTCTCGAGAACTCTCCAAAGGATATCTCTTGGAACCTTATCGTAAGCTTTTTCTAAATCAATAAAAATCAAATGTAGATTCTCCTTATTATCTCTGAACTTCTCCATCAAACCTCTCAATAAATGTATAGCTTCCATAGTAGACCTGCCCGTCATAAATCCAAATTGATTATGAGAAATTTTTGTGATGCGTCTTAACCTATGTTCAATTACCCTCTCCCATAATTTTAACCTATGTTCAATTAAGCTCGACATAGTTGAGCGAAAATAATAAAATATAGATCAATCATATTGCATTTTGAAGAGGAGTGCTTAGCTGTTTAGTTTTGTATTTGATCGGATTTGATGTCTCATCAACAAATTTTATCACTTGGAATGAATATTGAGGCATTTAGCATGGATCTCGAAACATTTATTACAACAACAACAAAGCCTTAATCCCACTACGTGGGGTCGGCTACATGAATCCTTTTTCTCCATTTTTTTTTCTCGCGTCCTATTTAGTGTCATATTTTCATTTAGTTCTAGTAAATTAAGATCCTTTAACATTTATTGAGCAAAAAATATTCCAATTCAAATTTAAAATCATCATGAATTTTGATTTCAACAAACATATAATCAAATTGATTCGTTTGACAAGACAAACCCAATTATAAAAAAATTGATCCAATTCGAGTCCAATCAAGCTCAAAAAGCTATTAAACCACTTTTGGGGATTTTGGTGGTTATTGAAGGATGAAATGTATTCTTAATTTGACATCCCAATTCCGAGGTCATTAAGGCTATCAGATCATAAAAAAATTTCTATGATTAAGGGGAATCAACGTAGGGTTTTTGATCGGGTGATTGTAGGAGTTATTTATCAAATGACGAACTCCCCCACGACTATAAATAGATCCCCTCTTCAATTGAAGAGAAAGAGAAGAAAGAGCTAATACTCAGTGCTAGTCTTTAGGGAAGTCTTCTGCATACGGAGTAGCACGATGTTCTAAATACTATGCAATGACGTATTCCGAATACAAGGTATCAAAGACCCGACGATAATTTTCTGCAGCAACTGTTTTTGACCGTTGTACAACGATCTTTTCTGTATAGGGACATCGTATTTGGAGAAACATTGTAGCCCTTTTTTTCTCAGTTGTTGGATGATGGTTTGTTTTTGTACTTGTAAACTTATAGTGGATTATTTTGATTGGGCCAGACCGTATTGTTTATTTTACTTTCTGGTTTTTTTCGTGTAAAAATTCATGGTGTCTTCTTCCGTTGATTATTTTTGTGTGTGTTGGATTTCATACAACACTGAGACTTTAAATTATTACTCTAGCACCGCGATTTCCCAACACGCAATATGATTTCATTTCTCTATTTTAAAAGAATAGAATTTTCTAATAGATATATTTTTTTGTCCGATTGTAATATTGCAAAGTGGAAACCCATTAAAAAGCTGCGATTACATTTTTTTTATCACTATCAAAAAAATTGACGATAATATTAAAACAAACAAATTCAAATTTAAAAAAATTATAATTCGACTCAAGTTTATTTAATTCAAATCAAATTATTAAATTCAAATCAAATTACTAAATGAAGCGAAAAATTAAGATAAAAAGATTTATTTATAGGTTAAAATAAGAGTTTAAATAAAAATAAATTTTATGATTTGAAAAAAGAAATTGCAACTTCAACTGTATGAAAAAAAAAACACTCTCTTCATGGCATATGAAAAAAAAAATAATATAAAAAAAAATTGAAGAACTGCCCTACTCCACATTAGATGTGGTCTCCGTTTTAAGGGCGACGCTGAATTATAAATTTTTCTCTTTTGAAGTGCAGGAAGCTTTAATTTTTTTTAATAAAATAATTTATTTTAAAATTTGTCCTAATTTGAAGTTCTAGATTATGATAATTAATTATTACGAATGCCTTGTACAGGGATCAGCCAACGTTGGAAAATCTGCTTTCATCAGTGCTATACTTAGTAAGCTTTTTTGGCATACTTATGATAATTTAAAATTCTATTACTTTTTGCAGTGCGTCCTAGTTACTCTATTTTTTGTTGGAAGTTTTATGCTCTTTTGAATGTGTATCATCGTGGAAGCACACTTTACTGGAATTATACACCATTTCTGTGTGATTTTTTTTTTCTACATCATAAATTTTTTTTATCAATTTTATATGAAGTACAAATATTTGTTGCTTCATTAGTGCCCTGAAGTTATTATCAACCTTTTGTAGAAATATTGGATGATCAACAATACACACTCACTATTTTAAAAAAAGTCTTTATGGCTTGCAAAGGGCTCTTTACTCTGTGCTGATTAAGAGCAATGCCAAAGAAGTAGCATGGATCGTTTCTCATCCACTCTTTTGTGCTGAAATAATGCGATGATTCGGAAATAAATTGGTACTTGATGTAGATCAACATCAGAGGTCCTTATGAAAGTTAATGTAAAATTTTAAAGTTAAAAAGTAGAAGAGACTATTGGTAATGGCTCATTTCGTAGTAATTAATCAATCGTCTATTCTCCTCTTCTTCAATATGAACCATAACATGGCACTATGGGTTCATCTTCCTTAAACTTTTAGCCTTTGCATCCTAAAATGATAGTTCCTAAAATGAGTGATATCTTTTGCAAGAAACTTCATTATTTTCTCATCCAAATCAAGATATATTCTCTCTACCCCCATACCTCAAGCAACAATTCTGTATTTATGACAATTGGTACTTGTCATAGATATCTTCAAAATAAAATTAGAAGGGGGGCCATTTGAGAGTTTCTAAATTGATTTTCTACTCATCCTCTTTATATTACTCTATATAATTTATCTTTTAATTAACATCAGCATTCGATTTGAATCTTGGCTTGATTTTGTGTTTAACCTTCTTAAGAAAGTGGCACCCTCCGAAAATAAAATTAATATTGATAAATGTTTTGCGGTACAATAGAAGAAGATACCCAAACTTAAAAACCATGACAGCACATTACATGATTTATGGAAGAATTTTACTCGTTTGAATTCCTAATAACACAATTACAAAAATCAAATTTGTTAGATGATTCTGTACAATCCTTAGCATCCTTAAATAAGGTTTGAGACTTCAAGAAGCAAGTTGAAATAATGAATTACTTAACATAAATTGCAAACCTAAACATGTAAGTTGATGATTTAGCTCTTAAAATGTCAGTTGATGATTGAATGTGATTCACTGTCGGACCTTTAATGAGGGTAATGAGGTTAACGATGAAGATGAGCTATTTCCCCAATGTGGACAGGCAAGGGAAGCTGAATACATTAAAGGAAGTATAGAATTTGATTTGACTGAGGAGAACAATGGAACCATATGCATTTGTGATACTAGAGTTAACCCAAACTACAAATCGAATGACACGAATTTTATTGTTGCAATAATGAAAGTACAACGACTCTCTTTAACGAAACAACACTAGCATGCAAAACAGTACACACCAATAAATACTATGGGAAATAGAAAAAGGCGTGACAGACAAAAACGGCCCTCTCTAAGGAAGCGCGATAGATCCGACAGGTTAATGCTGGAATAATAGTGTTGGCGGCCTACTGGAAGGAGTTTGAGAGATGGGTGGCTGATGGTAGGGGCCCGACAAGCTATTGAAAGATGCTTGAGAGGGATAGCAGACTAATGGAAGGGAATTGGCGGGGGCAACAGTGCATGCATCGCCTACTGGAAAGAGCTCGGGATGCCTGGCGGCAGCTAGGAGGGGGCCGACAGGCTGCTGGAACGTGTTGGAGAAGGGAGGTGGGCTGCTGGAAGGGAACTGAAGGGAGGTAGCAAGGTCGGCAGCCTGCAGCCGGTGAGATGGAGTCTAGAGTGACGGACAACTGCTGGAAGGGACTGGAGAGGGCAGGCGGATTGTTAGAAGGTAGATGGTAGCAAAATCAATGGGAAATAGTGACCACCTCAGGCGAGGTACAACCGAAGCATCGCTCATTGTCAGATACAACACTCGGAAGGGACACACCTTGGAGGCACACCTGAAATCAGAAATTAATAAAAACTGGTTAAACCTAAGCAAAACACCATGTATAATCAGGGGAAGACTAGAGGCTAGCATAGGCAAGATATAGGAATGAAAAGGGGGATGAAAATTGAAGGGGTTGAAGAAAAGCAGGGGAGGATGGCAATGACTATGAGAAAAGTGGGGCGGACGATCATGAGAGGATCACAACGGATAGGAGAAAGGAGGGGTGGAACTTCCGCCCTAAGTAGAATTTAACCAGTTCGACCCAACAGGGAGGCTGGACCGACCCCCTTGGCCTACCTGACCCAAACAACCCCACGTCAATCTCCTGGGGTTGGGGAAGTTTCGACGTCATTTGTAAAATCTTTGGGGTCCGGTGTGAGGTCTGCGACATTGAATGTAACATAAATTTTGTAATCCTCTGGCATATCAAACTTGTAGGTGCTTTTATTCAATTTTTTTTAGTACTTGAAAATGTCTGTCTGCTATGTGTTAGAGTTTTCCAAACGCTCCTATGAGATTCTTTTTCTTTAGTCGAATCCACACGAGATCTCATTGAAATGTTACATTCTTTCCTGTGTCTCATATTTGTGGTTTTGTTTAGTAATTGCTCTCCCAACTTCCTCGTGGAGTTGTTGAATATGGTGAACACATTCAATAGCATCCGCATTGACCTCTGATCGGGGTAGAAGTGAGACCAACTCAAGGGGAATGAGCGGATTGAGCCCGTACACAATTTCAAACGGACGTGTCCTGTAGTTTGGCTCATGGATTTGTTGTAGTCGAATTCGGCTTGCGCAAGAATGAGATCCCATTGTTTGATGCTTTTGCTCATGAAGCATCCCAGAAGATTCCCAAGACTTTTATTGACTACTTTGGTTTGTCCATCTGTTTTAGAGTGTGCTACCGAGTTGAATTGAAGTTTAGTTCCTAATTTTTTTCAGAGGGTCCTACAGGAGTGACTCACAAATTTGACGTCTAGGTTAGAGGTGATGGTCCGGGGAATGCCGTGATGTCGCACAATCTCTTAGAAATGTAAGTCGGTAATGTGAGAGGATCCAACGTCCGGTGGTAGGCCACGAAATGTGCCATTTTTGAGAAACAATCAACTACCAAAATAATGAAATCTCTGTTCCTTTGGGTGCGGGGAAGTCCCACCACAAAGTCCAAGCTAACGTCTATTCATGGTGCCTCAAGTACCGGCACAAGGGGTGTACAAACTCGTATTCTTTTCGCGGGTTTTGGAGAGATGACAAATCCTACACTGTCGGATGCGTCACTACACATCTCTCATCTGATGGGGCCAAAAGAAATGTTCTCTTACGAAGACAAGTGTCTTATCCCTGCCAAATTGACTGGCTAATGCTCCACTGTGGTTCTCTTGGACGATGGCCTCTGTCAACGAGCATCAGGGAATGCATAATTTATTTTTTTAGGAGTAGCCATCCGTTTGGTAGTACTTCCCGGTTGGCTGCACCCGACACTGCTCCTAGATGTCCTGGAAGTCCTCGTCTGTCTTGTATGTCTTTGGTAATCTCAAAACCCACAACACGAGTCTGCATGGACGTGATCAACAGTTGACGACGGTTCAGTGTGCTCGTAACATGATTCTGAGTCTCGGCTTTGTGTTTGAGAACGAATTAGAAAGAAGCTAATAATCCTACCCACGCAGCGTGACGCGCATTTAGTTTGCTTTGACTGTTTAAGAACTTTAAAGCTTCGTGGTGCATGAATAGAGTAAACTCGTTTGTTAGAAGATAATTACTCTAGTGCTCTAGGGCTTTGACAATTGCATATTACTCGTTGTCATAGCTTGAATATTTTCATCGTGAATTGTTCAATTTTCTCTGAAGAAGGAAATGAGGTGACCTCCTTGACTGAGGACAGCGCCAATGCCCCTGCCGGATGCATTAAACTTGACCTCAAACAATTTGTTGAAATTTGGTGGGGTTAGAACGGGATCATGAGTCACTTTTTCTTTGAGTGCTTCGAAGATGGACTAAATTGTGGCTGTCCAAGTGAATTCTTTTCATTTGCCAATGATAGTGCTGAAATTTCAGATAAATCTTTCGTGGAAGGAGACTAGCCTCATGAATTATCGTAGCTCAGTGAATTATTATGACACAATAGGCTCGATCTTTGAATTATTATGACACAATAGGCTCAATCTTTGTTGAGTCCATTTGAATGCCCTGTTAGATACAATTTAACCCAAAAAACATAATTGGTTTGTGATGAAGTGACGTTTCTTGGGGTGGGCGTACAATTATTCAGCTCATAAGACCTTGAATACCACCCGAAGGTGTTGCAGGTCGTTCTCTTCTGATTTACTATAAACCAAAATATTTTTGAAGTAGACCACCACAAATTTTTCGATGTGGGTTCGAAACACTTGTTTCATCAGCCGCATGAAAGTGCTAGGTGCGTTGGACAGGTCGAAAGACATAACTGTCCATTTATACAGACCATACCACGTCTTGAAGGCGATCTCGATTTATACAGACCATACCACGTCTTGAAGGCGATCTTCAACTCGTTTTTTGGTTGAATTCTGATCTAATGATAGTGCTGAAGTTTCAGACAAATCTTTGGTAGAAGGAGACTAGCCTCATGAATTGTCGTAGCTCAGTGAATTATTGTGGCACAATCCAGTTCACAATAGAATCGATCTTCATTGGGTTCATTTGAATGCCTGTGTTAGATACGATTTAACCCAAAAAATATACTTGGTTTGTGATGAAGTGGCGTATGGGCGTACAATTGTCATATGGGCGTACAATTGTTCAGCTCATAAGACCTTGAATACCACCCGAAAGTGTTGCAGGCCGTCCTCTTCTGATTTACTATAAACCAGAATATTGTCGAAGTAGACCTCTACGAATTTTTTAATGTGGGTTCGAAACACTTGTTTCATCAGCCGTATGAAAGTGCTAGGTGCGTTGGACAGGCCGAAAGGCATAACTTTTCATTCATAGAGACCATACCGCGTCTTGAAGGCAGTCTTCCACTCGTTTTCTGGTCGCATTCTTATCTGATGATAGCCACTACGCAGATCGATTTCCGAGAAGGCGGTGACTCCGTGCAATTGATTTGAGAGATCGTTGAGGCGTGGTACGAGAAACCGATATTTGATGGTAATTTTGTTAATGACATGGCTGTCAATGCACATACTCTATGGATCTTCTTTCTTGGGTATTATAAGGGCGGGGACAACGCATGGACTGGTGCTTTCTCTGACTAATCTTCTTGTAATAAGATCTTGCACCTGACGTTGAAGCTCCTCGTACTCTACAGGTCAAAATATGTAGGCGGGGTGATTTGGTAACACCAATCTTGGTATGAGATCTATGACGTGTTGGATGTCCTTTAGTGGTGGTAAGCCGTCTTGAAGGTTTTCGGTCATTACGTCCATGAAGTCATGTAGAATCGGTTGTAGACATGTGGGTATTTTCTTCTCAACATCAAAACTTTTTAAGAGGACTAATGCATGGGCCATTGGTGCGTCTCGAACTGACCATAGGAAAGTTACCCGTCAGACTAACGAGTCCTTTGTGCATTATCAGGTGGCCTGTCCAGCTTCCAAGTTGGACTGGATGGGTTAGATTCTTTTTAAGGTGGAATTTTCAGCCCTCCTTTGTCCTACCCGTTGTGATCCTCTCTTGATTATCCGCCTCTTTTTTCTCATAGTTGTTTCCATCCTCCCCTGCTCTTCCCCAACCCCTTCCATTTTCATCCCCCTTCCTTTCCTAGATCCTGCCTATGCTAGCTTCTAGTCTTCCCATGTTTATACATGGTGTTTTGCTTAGGTTTAACCAGCTTTTGTTGATTTCTGATTTCAGGTGTGCCTCTAAGGCGTCTCCCTTTCGAGGGTTGTATCTGCGGTGAGTGGTGCTTTGCCTGTACCTCGCTCGAGGTGGTGACTACCTCCCTTCGACCTTGCTGCCATCTACCTTCCAACAGTCCTCCCGCCCTCTCCTACCCCTTTCAGTTGCCGGCCGTCACTCTAAACTCCATCCCGCCGGCTGCCAACCTTGCTGCCCCCACTCTGGTTCCCTTCCAGCAGCCTGCTTGCCTTCTTCAACACCTTCCAACAACCAATCGGGCCCCTCCCACATGCAGTCAGGCATCTCAAGCCCTTTCCAGTTGGCCGCCGACACTGTTGTCCCCTTCAGTTCCCTTCCACCAATTCGCCAACTCTCTCCATCTTCCAGCAGCTTGTCAGACCCCTCCCAACAACCACCAGTCATACCAGACTCCTTGTGGGCTGCCAAAACTACTATTCCTGCATTACTCTGACGCGCTTCCTTAAAGAGGGCCATTTTTTTCTGTCATGCCCTTTTCTTATCCCAGCAGCCTGTCATGCCCTTTGTCTGTTTTACATGCACATGTTGCTCCGTCAAAGAGTCATCGTTGTACTTTCTTAATTGCAGCAATAAAATGTGTCATTCGAGTGGTGGTTTGTGTTAGTTCCAGTATCATTTGGTATAAGAGCGAGCTTAATCCTAATTCTATCTTAGGGTTTCCTAGCTTCTGCCATAACTAAAAAATTTTCTTTCCGACCGACAAATACCATATCCCCAACCCCATATCCCCAACCCTAGCTTCTTCTTGTTGATTTTCAAAATTAGCAGCCTTAAACCAATTATTTTTACCCTCTTTCACCTCCCAACCCTAAACTCTAGCCATGCCATTGAGGAGATACACACCCAAGCCTACCCATGAGTAGAGACAACGAGAGATCTACCAACTATAGGTGGAGACTTTTGGAAATTGAGGATGAAATCTGATGGGAGGCTACCTCACTGTGATCGGGAGTGTTGAAGGGGAGAACGAGAGAATCTGAAGATGAAGCGGCAAGTATAATACCTGTTTTTACCAGCTTACTACATATAGAGGGTACATACTCTAGCTTCACAGGTGGAGAGGCCATATCACCGAACGACCCACCCTCACATCTTACAGATAAGGTTCAACCTCAGAATTTTATTGCCAGAGTACACGCAAGAGAACACTCAAGATGATCCCATCAGAGGACAAGTTCATTCAAAGTGTTGAACAGACAAATCCAATTCACATCCCTAAATCTATCACAGTTAGGAATCGTTGCAAGTGTCACAGATTTAGGCATGGTGAATAAAAATACACAACAAGAGGGGTTATCTGTTTCACTGAGCAGGGTGCTGTTAAAAAATTTGGCAATGACATGATTGATCCAAGAGATTATGAAGACTTCAGATAGGATTCTCATCTACCAACCAATAAGGAAGATGTGTTATCCATTCCAGTTGATCGCGGGAGAGAGGTTCCAACTGTGGTATCAATAGCTGTTATAGAAGATAGTGACTTTGATGTAATGAACGTTCATGCAGAATATGAGATTGTAGTTCCTCGAGCTATCGTTTAGCATGCGTTGAGAGGAATGTATACCAGACTGACTTTGGATGTCTAAAAGGGCCAACCAGCCCTCTATTTCTCTACCCGTACCCCCATCTACAGTAAGACCATTGCAGCCCCTTCCGTCCACCTGCAGCCAATCCACACCATTGCAGCCCCGTTCTTTCACCTGCAGCAACCCCACCCCGTGCTGACCATGCTTGCCGCCCCTACATCCCGACTATTCCTTACTTGCTGTCCAGCCGGCAGCCCACCATCCTTGCTCACATCCTAGAAAGTCGCAGGTGATTGTGTCGTTTTGTTCCTGTTTGAAGAGTCTTCGTGTAACCTCATTTGAATTCATTAATACAAATCCCGTATCAATTTGTCTCCCTTTACTAGGTCGATATGGAGAAAGCAACATTAGAGGTGATGGAGAGCAAGTATTTGTAAGATGAAGAGAACCTAGCCTGTGGTGAGGATGGGAGTGATGAGTCCTTCTATGTATTTGACATGACTTGCAGTGAAGTGGGAGGTTGAAGCCACGTGTGTTTTTTCTACTCCTCTAGGCAATGGCGAGGAGTCGAGCAGTGAGCATGATCAAGCAAATAGGGGATTGTGTGAACATGAATGTAGGTGAATCTTATTTTTTCATCTAATTAGTCATTGTGCCTCCTAGATGTTTAAGTAATTGATCATAAAATTTTAATGTATATTTCACCAGATTTGCTACTGGCCATTGATGTGCCTTTAACTTTAGTCTGGATATGTTTTGGGCAGCATCAACTGTCCTCCTTGAATGATTTGTTTGCAGCCTTGAATAATTGGATTTGGACAATATAAAGTTTCTCATAATACTACTCATGTTTATAATTTTTAAGTCTCGTTGCTGCTTGCTTTATATCTTGTTTTTCTTTTTTCTCATCAACACGGTGGATATATCATTTTCTTAGAAATCTTGTGTTCGGAACTGGTTGACTCTAAATGCATTTGCTGGCTACTGCAGAGATGATGGCAAAAAAGGATCCGGTGGCTGCTGCTGCTCACAAGTACAAACCAATGCAGTCTGCTGTGCCTGGAACAACGCTAGGCCGCATTAAAATTGAAGCTTTTCAAGGAGGTGTATGTTTGATGAAATAACATTAATTCAAGTATTCTTTGAATGCCATTATTAAACAGTATCCTTTAATTTAATAGTTGACCTGATTTGCGGTTTATTTTATTGTTTTATTATTTTATTTGGCTGTGACTTAGTGCCTACTTACAAACTTCTTTAAATAGGACTGGAACCTATTTTGGTGCATAACAATATATTCTACTATTGATTGAAAATATGGTAAATTTTATCAAGCATCCAAATTCTGTACCGCACATCTTTAGGGGGTGTTTGGTAGCCCATTTTTAATAGGATTTGGCCATGGATTTACCTTAAATCCAGCCGAGCACCAAAAAAAAAAAAAATCCGGATTTCCGGGACCCCCCCTTCCCCATGGATTTACCTTAAATCCAGCCGAGCACCAAAAAAAAAAAAAATCCGGATTTCCGGCACCTCCCATTCCGTCTTCTCCATTGCCGTTCCAAAAAAAATCCGGATTTTCGGCACCTCCCATTCCGTCTTCTCCATTGCCGTTCCATCATATTCTGCACAGTCGTTTCGTCTGCAAATCCGGATTTTCTAAACTCCATAGAGAGGCGGATTTAATGGATTTACGGTGTTGTTGCTAGCGACCTTCGCTTCTGTCACAAGCTCGCCAAAAATCTGGATTTTATAAATGCTGTTAATGTAAATCCGATCCGCTAGCCAAACACCCTCTTAAGTTAAAACTGAACCTCATGTGTCTTATATTGCTGCATTATTCTGTAAATTCTGGATTCAATATATTTGAGGATATGTCTGATAGCATAGTATTATGATGGATCTAATTGTTAATTAATTATTAGAGGGCGTGACGCTTTAGAATATTTTTTTTCCTCATAAAGGTAATTTAGTAAATAAGAGGGCCTTGGTATTATTTGATTTGGCTAGCTTAAAAATGCCGTGACGCTTTAGAATAAAAGGGGAGTTTTGGAGAGTTTGTTCTCGGGTTTCCAGGTTATGGGAAGGATCTCTTTGTATTTGCGGTAGACTCCATAAGTTTTGGAGAGGTTAGAGAGGAAACAGATCATAGCGGAGTCTAGGATTCTGCCACAATTGATCGGCAAGGCTTTTTTGTTTTTTTTTTCCTTATCATTCTTAAATCCTATATGCACAATTCAAGTGGCTGTCTACTGAATTTTTGCAGCGGAAAACTTAAAGCAGCAGCAGGAAAAAATTCATTCCAGAGGATAAGTGTTCATAGTAGAGTATAAGGCCAAAATTGATTATGGCACTTCGGAAGCCTTCTCTAGCATCTTTCCAATCATGGGGGCTGTAGTTTTTCTAGCAAACATGCAATTTTTCAGTCAAGCAAAATGCACGGTTTGCAATTCAGCTGTTACAGTTTCATTTCTTGTAGCTACTCATCTAGCCATACCCGATCGATGTTTGATAGTCCAGCCACTTGCATATTCCTTCTAAAAGAAAAAAATTGCTTTAAAAAAAAGCTTCCTCTATTCATTCATGACATGAGCTTATAAAGAGCATTACAATATTTTACAAATAAACCCCTAGGCTTCTTTTATATTTCCTTCTTTACCAATAGGACCCTAAACTAGATATAAATCTCAACACCCTACCTCAAGATGGGCAAACGATATCACTAAACCTTTCTTGTCACATAACCTGGACAAATCTAATGAGCTAAGTCTTTTGATGAGGCAGTCATCCACTTACTCCCCAGCTGCTACATGAGCTTGCTTCAGTAGTTCGTTATTCAGTTTTTCCCTAATGAACCTATCAACCTCCACATGTTTGGTTCTATCATGTTCCACCTGGTTATTGGCAATGTCGTGCTAACTTATTGCATCACAAGTTCATTTGAGCTCTTTGCTCCACCTTGTGCTCTACCAACAGGGTTCTCAACCCCTTCATCTCGGCAACTCCTAAGGATTTGACTCTGTATCCTGCCACTGTTGTTGACCTCACAACTACTAAATGTTTCTTGCTCTTCCAAGAGACCAAGTTGCCCCCTACAAACATGCATTATCATGATGTGCATCACCTTTCAGCCGCACAACTTGATTAGTCAGAGTCACAAAAGTATTCAATGCCTACATGTCCATTTTTCTTTAAGATCAAGCCCTTCCATGGTGCACTCTTTAGGTAACTCAAAATTTGATCCAGTGCGTCCATATGACCCTTGGATCTTGCATGTAGTAGTTCACCACACTCACTGCAAATGAGATGTCGGGACGAGTGCGACTCAGATAGATCAGACGATTCACTAATCCCTCGTACCTCTCGTAATCAAGTGGCTCTTCTGCCTCTACACTCAGTTAGGCCTTCTGATCAATTAGAGAGAATACAGACTTGCGTCTTGGCATGTCTGTCTCCATGAGGAGATCCATTACATACTTCTTCTGAGATATGACCATCCTCTCTGGTTCACAGGTCATCTCAATCCCAAGGATGTACTTGACCTGTCCAAGCCCGTCACCTTAATTTTTTTGTCCAATTTGATCTTTAACTGAGCGATCTCTGTCTCATCATCACCAATGACTATCATGTATTAACATACACACAAGTATAGCAGTATGACTTTCATGTTGTCGAAAAAATACCGTATGGTCGGATTGATTTGCTGATATCACCATAACCTTTCTAAACTTATAAAATTAGGCTTGAAGAGACTGCTTCAAGCCATAAAGTGACTTCTTGAGCTTGCACAACTTGTCCACCGTCTGACTTGTACCGAATCTTGGTGGTACCTTCGTATACACCTCCAGTAATTCACTATGAAGAAATGCATTATTCACTTCGAGTTGGTGTAACCTCTACGCATCATTCTCCGCCAGAGAAAACCGTGTTCTCAATGTGCTTATTTTCGCTCCTGGTACAAAGGTTTCGTCATAGTCAATGTCATACCTAATTGTACCATTTCACTACCAATCGTGCTTTCTAACACTCCATCATCACTTCTGGATTTAGTTTCCCTGTGAAGATTCACTAGCACCCAACTGCTCTTTTTCCCACTCGTAGTGACACTATCTCCCGTGTTCGATTTTTATCGAGAGCCCTAAGCTATTCATGTATATGATTGTTTTTCACTTGGGATACTTCTTAGCTACCTGTCAACACTTGGGTATAGTTACAGTCCAAAGATGCAATGAATGCTTCATGTACATGTGATGTGCTAGAGTATGAAATAAATCGAACAATATCATGTTTTCATCCAAAACAATCAGGAGTACTTTCCACATTGCTGCGAGTGGTCATCCTTAAAAGTTATGGGGTTGAAATTAGAAAGAAAAGGAATCACATCACCTGTGATTTCTGAGTCAGGTGGATGGTGTAGGTGTCTCAAGAGTTGGGGTAGACTGGACAAGGGACTTACTGACATGAGTGTCACTGCAAGAATAGTTCTTTCATTCTGCTTCTTCTTTCTTGTATATACCCTCAACTCCCCTTTAGCTTGAATCCCACCATCTCTGGGTTGAATCTCCTCATTTTCAATCTCCTTATTTTCCAGCTCCTCAGCTTATTCATCTCACAGCACAAAACTAGTCATTGTTCTCACATGTACAAATCTCTCACCATTAATACTCACCCCTTATTGTCTTATACCTCTAGTATCTGGCGAGCCACCAAAGGGTGAGGACACCTCCAGAGTTTAGTACAGTTTGAATTTTCTAAAGGCACATTCATACTCACCAACAAATTCTTCTCTATCGGGCTCCAACTAACATACCATGTTTGGGTAGCAGAATAACCCATGAGAACACACTTTATAACTCTAGGATCCAACTTTCCTACTGATGGTTTGTTGTCCTTCACAAAACATACACAACCAAATATCTTTAATGAGAGGATTCCGCTATTATCGCCTCTTATCTTATACCTCTAGTATCTGGCTAGTCGAGGACACTTCTAGGGTGTAGTACAATTTGAATTCTCTAAATAACACATTCATACTCGCAAACAACCTCTTCTCTATCGAGCTCCAACAAACATACCATGAAAGCATACTTTATAGCTCTGGCATCCAACTTTCTTACTAATTGTCTGTTGTCTTTCACAAAACATACACAACTAAGTACCTTCAATGGGAGGATCCCGCTATTATCGGCTTTCAACATCTGACAGGAAAACTTCCAATCCAACACTTTTGAGGGCATTATATTGATCAATTGAGCAATTGTCGACACTGCTTGCTCCCACAAGTAATTTGAGACATTCATCGTGATCATCATGCTTCAAGCGACATCTAAAAGCTGTCTATTCTCTCTCTCCTACTCTGTTTTATGCCAGTGCATATGGGCATGTTGTTTGATGATGTATCTCTTGAGCTGACAAGTATTCTCCAAACGTTTTGTTGGTTTATTGTCTCATTATCAGACCTCAATACTTCCACTATTGCATCATATCAAGTCTGTTTTGTTTTGTGGAAATCTTAAAAGAAAACAAGCATATCACCCTTATTTTTCATCAGATACAACCAAGTAACATGAGAAAAAAATTTAAAAAAGTTACAAAATATCGATAACTATTCATTGAACTTATAAAACAAGGTCCCCAAACATCTGAATCTATCAAATCAAAAACATAAGAACTTTTATTCTCATAACATATATAAGAACTCCTAGTAAGCTTGTCAAACTGACAAACATCGTAAATAAGTTTTTGTTTATTTGCCTTCATTTTACTAAAACAATAGTGTATCATGCATTTGTGATGTAGAAATAACACAACTTCCACACTCACATATCCCACAACTCTAGTATTCTCTACCATGGATGTCAAAGCTTAGTCCATCACCTCTCTTTCCAAGTACCAACGTCCACTATGCCACATTCCAATCTCATGTATAATGCCTGTCACTTTTTCTTGGAAGATCACCTTAAGAATGTCAAATAAAACAATATATCTTAGTTGGAGAATAATAACACTAATGGATAAAATATTCACTAGAAAAGAAGCATGTAAAACATTGAAAAAGTTATAGAATCTATACACTCCACTATACCCTTTTCAACTGCAGGTTGTGTTGTACCATCAACAGTTTGGATGCTCTCTCGAACTGTTATGTGAGTATAAGAAGAAAATTCTCTAGTAGTACCTGTCACATGTTAAGATGCACCCGAATCTACTATCTATTATGAAGATTTTGTGGTGGAAATAAAGCTAAGATCATGTGAGTTACAAATACATTTGTCAGAGTGAGCATAAGTAGCAAAGTTACCCTTAGATGACAATGAGGTGGAATTATCCTCAGCCTACCCCTATTGCTTTCTGCTTTCTGCTTTCTGCTTTCTGCTCAACTCTCTAGAAACTCATAATCCTCTTTGATAAATACCACATCTCTCACTCATCCTCAACTACCATCAGATTTCCCCGTTAGCCCCTCTTCCACCTTTTTGACCACCACAACTGCAACAACTGCCTCCAAACTGTATAAGTTCACTTCTCTCTCTCTCTCTCTTCTTAGGTTGTCTAGGACAGACCTTGCTCAGGTGGCCTACTTCATTGTAGTTGTAGCACTCACGAGTCTTCCGCTAGACATTCGTCACACCTGAGCTCGAGGCAACCAAAATTGATCGCGTACCTAGAAGTCCACTCGGGTCAAAGTGAAAGCCTCATGTGACTCCTCTTGTATCGTCACCACGATGGCCTAATCTAATGAAGGGACCATCGCTTGTTAAGGGCTGGGTGTTGATGGGCAAGAAACTTTATAGTCCTCATCTTTGCAAAGATCTCCCCCTTCTTGCACCCTCGATCACCACGAATCGACATCAATGAGAAATGATCAATATTTGCTCACAACCGCTCCAGATCTATAGAGTACTATTGAATGGATTTATCAACCCGTACCACTGCATCTATCTCGCGCTAAATCTCAAACACCCTCATGTGATTCTCAGCCCCAACATAGATCCTCAGCTTTACCCAAATGTCCCTAACCTTTTGAATGCCATCTACTGAGGAAGCAATTGACGTAAGTTGAGTAGCCAGGTGTATAGCAAGACATGTGTGGTCCTCCACTCAACCGCCTCTAACATTGTCATCTTTGGTTCGTCTCCGGTCATATATCATTTTAGTCTCTTACCTAATAGAGCAGCCTTTATCTGAAACGACCAACTCAGATACGTGTCTGGTCCATTAAACTTCAGATCTGTAGGAGGGAGTTCTAGTTTCACCTGTGTCAGAGCTCGTGTTGAGGTAGTGGTTCCCATCGAGATGCTACCTCCCTGTATTTGCCTCACCATGATCTTCAGAACCTCAGGTTCTGTTTTCTCCCATAAACTCAAATTCTTTACCTCCCGCATTATCTCCATCTCGTGTCATTCTCAATCAGAAGAAACCAAGTCTAGATCACACATATCACGCACTACTTCCTCTTTTTGACCCGATTTTGATCTATCTCATCATTAAAATCGAAATCCTCTTATCAACCCATTCCTCGTGAGGGCTTCGACTTTGCGCGCGCACAGGGAAGAACGACGAGGGCTTCAACATGCTGGACCGAGTGTGAGGAAAGGAGGAATGTGCGAGGGCTTCAGTTTCGTTTGGGCGGAAGAAGACTTCGGCCAGCGACGGCTGGATCACATGTGAGACTTCTGGGGCTCTGATACCAAAAAAGAAATAATGCTCCAAAAAATATCCTCTATTCATTTTTGACATGGTCTTATAAAGAACATTACAATATTTTACAAATAAACTCCTTGGCTTCTTCTATATTCCTTTTTAACCAATAGGATAAGAAAACAAATCTGTAAGAAGATGCAGAAAATAGGGACAAATTTATGTGGTGGCTTGGCGAAGTTCATCTTTGTCCACAGCCAATCAGAGCTACGGATATTCATTTAGTTCAGTAATATGCGCATGATACCAATATTTTTCCCTTACTATTTTCTCGTTTGATTTATCCCAATTTATTTTATTTTCTTTATTTTTTTTTTCTTTCCTCTCAAATCATATTTCTCAATTCCTTAAGGATTTTATGGAATCCTTACCCTGCAACAAAGTTTCCTTGGAATTTCAATTCACCTTTAAAGTATTGATATGTCAATAGGAAATTCATTCAGTCAAGCTTGGAATATTGGGACAAAAAGCTTTAGAATTTGATCTCAAGATCATCCAAACTCTATTATAAGCAAGCTTAAGGTCAAGACAATGCAGTTCAATGAGACATACTCAGTGATGACGAAGAATGCCTAAATTCTAGTCCAAATGTGACTTGGTCAAGCACTAAGCATAATTTAAAGCTTGTGGCCATTATGAGGTTAAACTGCTTGTGGTTGAAACAAGCGTCTTAATGAGATTAATGAGATGAGTCTAGCAAGTCCAAGATCACTTAATTTCAGGTTTACTGAAGTATTGAGATATCCAAGAAATCATATAATGATCAAAGCGGCCTATGCACATTGTCTGATAAAGTTTCTAGGATCACGATTGAAATGACCAAAATGACTTTTTTCTTGAAATCTACAAATAAGTTTTATCTTGTAAATTTTGGAAAGGATTTTCTATGAAGGGAAATTTGAGATTCATAGGGATTTCCAGAGCTCTATTCACAATTGCTTTTTTATCGTTAATCAACACCACTTGATGTTTGATACCCAAAGCTTTACTTCCCAATCACACAATCTCCCCTCTATTTAGAAAAAAATGACCAAATCGACCACTCACTATCACATGATGCCCAACACTATAGTTGACCGTTGTATGATCCATACTAACGATCGAAGTTCAAATTTTTATGCTTATCTTATCGGTCATCCGATCAATATATTAGGATAGAAACCATGCCAATTATGCATCACTAACCAATATCTAACTTACAGTATTCTCCACATTCTCCACATGCGTCCAATATTCTGCATCTAGCATTCATTGGTGCTTGATGTCCATCTTCTTGGTTGCTTTGTCTCTTTCTATTAAGATAACAATAAAGTTGACTGCCTATATTCCTCGATGTCTGATATTCAGTGCCAAATGTCATATGGTAGTCTTTGCCCAACGGCAACTCCGACATCTCAAGACCTCTTGATTTTTCTCTTTTCAAAATTTTCATTTAAAAAACCTCTCATCTCGTGTATCTATAGAAGTGTATGAGATCTTATTACAACTTTGAAATGTTAAATCATATTTGCCACCGCTAATTTTAAGTACACAAATATTATGATTTATAAGCTAATATGTATTGATTAAATTTTTTAAAATCTTGATAAAATATTGCTAAGTAAATCTTTGATTATTGGTGGATGCATCCATCTTCATTCTGCGGAAAAAAAAAAAAAAAAGCATTCCTTATAACTATATATATTTAAAATTCTATAATAAAATAAAAATCTGAAGTTTTTTGCAGATTTTTTTTAAAGGTTGTTAGTAGAGCTTAGCTTGTATTTTTTTCTTCTTTTATCCAGACATGCACGTATAGTTATGAGCCAGTTTTATTTTCTACTACAATTTCTCAGGCAAAATGAATTGCATGTCCCAATTCGTCAGAGATATTATTTGATCGGTCTTATTGAATAGGGTGATGATTGTTGTCTGCTATTATTTATAATTTATTTTGTTTGTTTTTTTTTTTTGATCCATGTACTTCTTAAAACAGAATGAATCATTGATTTTCTAATTTGTGCAGAATTTTTTCGACACACCAGGAGTACATCTTCATCATCGGCAAGCTGCAGTTGTTCATTCTGAAGATCTTCCTTCACTTGCACCTCAAAGTCGTCTCAGGGGGCAATCATTCCCTGTATGTTGAAAATTATTTGGCAGAACTGAGCTATACTGTAAGAAAAGACTATTAGTTTTTTGAAATTTCAGGTGATGTCAAAAAGTAATCTTGCTGCTACAGACACTATTGGTTTAAATGGATTCTCAATATTCTGGGGTGGTCTTGTGCGGATTGATGTTCTTAAGGTTTGTTTTGATTACTCTAGGGTTTGTTTTGATTACTCTAGGTTTAAGTGCTCTATTTTTCTAGTAACTATGTAATAATTTTAATGAGGCAAGTGTCAAAATGTTCCTTCGACTCTTTGCAGGGGTCTATTTTAGTTCTTAAGCTTATGAAAGTGTAAAACTAGTCTGTATACTCTTTTAACTTGGGTTGAAACAAACTCCAGGCTCTTCTAATCATAGGGCTTTTAAAATTGTGTGGGTACTAATTTGACACTTGACAGATTTTAGGATTAAAGTAGCCTCCCGTAAATAGTCATAATACCATTTTGACACTTACATGAAATGCAGGTTTTGCCGCAGACATGTTTGACATTTTTTGGACCACGCAAATTGCCGATTCTTATGGTCCCAACTGCTGAAGCTGATGAGTTTTACCATGTAATGGGACATGAACCTTTACATGATAGGTTAATGATTGATTTCCTTACAATTTTTTTATCAGCTAATTTTGTAGGTCAGGGAAGTGTTCTTTCTTATTGGTTTTCGATTACTGAACTTCCTGGTTTCATTATGGGCTGACCTTGAATAGAATTATTCCAACTTAACGTTCGAACTTTTACATTCAGAAAACTAAATTTGTGACGTTTTAGTGCATGCCATGTTGACTGCTCATTTGGTGATTACAGCAGCTACATATACTAATCCATTTTTTTTTAAGCCATTGTTTTCTTTTGTGATTTTATTGGTTGTTGATTTTCTTTTTTTTAATTCCTCATTTTCACTATATAAATGATCATAAAATCCTTATTTTTCATTGTGATTATTATTACTTTGCTTCAAAAGACTGATCAAAATTTTTCTTGGATGAAAACATGGAATTGTCTTGATTTTCAGTTTTCCTATTTTGACATGGTTGATTATATATGAAAATTAAGTGCATTTCATCAAGATCATGATTGTCCTCATCATCATTTATCCTCACTGCAACTCTTTGAGGTAAAATCTTCAAAAGCCTTGTGACTTCTCCAACTTAATCCATTTGCGAAATCTGGCTTGCGGAAGATTCAAGGTTTTTTTTTTCTGTCATCTTACAAATTAATATGGCGAGATTGTTACTTATAAATGATTAATTAACATGAAGAATGCTTTGATTAACCAATTTAGTCGGCAGTGCAATGTACGTGATTCTTAAACTTTTCCGCTGATTTATCAACTGCTGTTGATGTTTTGAAGACTACATAAAAATACAATAAATCTAATATATTTACCATCACACTTATTTGTTCTGCTAGCTATTTTAATTATCAGATAATTGTCAAACTCTGATTTTGTAATGCTTTTTTTTAATTCCCTTTACCATCTTTTGTTTCCAGAAAGAGGTTGGAGTTTTGTTGACACCTCCATCTGAAAAGCAAAGGGAGCTCTGGCCAGGACTTCAATCTGTGTCTCAGTTGAAAATAAAATTTGAAGACCAAAAGAGGTATTCTACTTTGTTTAAATTACTGGCAGTTTAATGATAATGTGACCATGCAAACAAAAGAAGACAAAGCAACCGTCATCTCATGAAAAAAATATCATATCATAATCCTTTCCAAAATGCCACAGCTATGCCAGGCCATATTATGGAAGGTATTGTTCAGTTTAGCCCAGACATCTCATACCACATTACATCTTACTGTTTTATCCTTTGTTGTGTACTTCCCTGGCGGCACTCATCCTAGGAATACTCTGCTATTAGAAATTATACATTAGATTAGGGATGTCAAATCTAGTTCATGGGTCGGGTTTAAGGTTGATTCGAATTTGACCGAACCAAAACTTCTTGATCTGAAACAGACCCGATTCGAAACCTACTCAAATTGGACCCGCATAACTCATTTAATATATATGAATAATAGTAAATTTCACATCAAATTCTAGTTGACGGGTCCAATTTCAGTTTGATTGGTTAATTACGGGTTGGCGGGTCTAACTCGAACCTGACTCGAATAATTAAACGTGTTGGGGTTTTGGATCAGAACCATACTCAAAATTTAACAGGTCAACCCGAACTTAAATTTTTTGAGTTAGCATGTCATGTTAATTTTTGATACCCTCATCTTACATCGAAAGGTGCATTTTGGTGTAACTGATGAATTCTCCGTGGTAACTCCATAATTAAGTGTGCTCATTATGAAACACACTTGAGTTTGGTGGCCTCTTGAACAGTTATATTAAAAAAAAGGATAACATCGCTAGTTTAAGCCTCTCGCATAGTACGATTTAGGCCGTTATATATACACTACATACTGATGAAAAAAAATTCCTCCAAAGAAGTTTAAAAATATCAGCTTTTTATAGCTAGCAGTAGACACGATGCAAATAACATGCTTTTCATGAACTGTTCCCCCTTGATAAAGGATAAAAGGCAGATCAATTTGTTGCAGTTAAACAAATAATATGCTTGCTTTTCTGCGTCCATATTTAATCTCAGGAACATCTACATGCATACCACACGATTCATATGTATTTGCATATCACTCAAATTCACTTTTTATGTATAGATTTGTAGCACCATGGTGTTAAAAATGTAAATAATCAAACTTTAGGTGTTCGATATGCAAATCCATAAGAATTGTGGTGCCTATCTAAATTTACTTAATCCTATCATGAAACAAATATCCTTGCTTCCTCTCATAGGCCTGCGTCGGACATTGCGATATCTGGGCTGGGTTGGATTTCGATCAAACCATTTGGCCGCGAGTGTGGTCAAAATGAGTCTGGGGACAGCCAAGGAGAACTGTGCTTGGATGTTTATGTTTCCAAACCTGTGGAGATTTTTGTCAGACCGCCATTACCCGTCGGTTCAGCGGGTGTGGAGTGGTACCAATATGAGGAGTTAACAGAGGAGGAAGAAGAGCGGAGACCTAAGTGGTACTATTAGCATGGGCTCCCTTTCCCTTCTTCAAAATTTTTAACATAGTGTTTGTTCGAATCTTATAAAGTTTAGTTATAGAGGTTGAGATTGAAGCTACTGAATCTCTTAGCGAATGCTATGATAATTTGAGTTACACTGTACTTTGAACCAGAAGTGAGGCTTTTAGTATTGAATTCTTTGTGTTTAGAGAACTTCTGAAGCGTTTAATAGAGCAGAATTTGGTAAATTACAGTTATTATAAAATTTGAGTTACAAGTTGATTGTGTTTTTTTATTTTTTTATTTGGTAATGTGATTGACAGCCTTTTGATTTTGTAATCATTACATCTTCCTACAAGTTGAATATAAATTGAGGTATTTACATTCATACATATCTTTTTTTTTTTTTCTTTTTTTTTTTTTTTTTTTGTTGAAACACTCCAATCGTTTAAATCACATGAAAAAAATCACCATTTTAATTTTTTAAAAAATAAATACACCTTTTAATGCTTGGATAAGATGGTATGTATGCATACTTTAAATTTTAGGTGTTAGATATGGTAACACTCAGGAATTGAGGGTTATGCATGTAAATCTTTCATAGAATTTGTTTACTAGAGAAAAATCTGACTAAATCCTGTTGTTTTGTAAGGACATTGATCTAAAATTTAAAATTAATGAGTGAGAAATCCTTAAATTTGCAAGCTCCTGTGAACATGATAATAAAATTGAAATTGCATTTATCGAAATGATAAGACTTTACAAAATAAAGCTAATTTAAAAATTGCGTGAGCATACACCTGGAGCAGTTGTGTATGTTAACCGCCACACACAAGCAATCAAAACATTTGTCAAATAATATCAAATATAACAATGTGAACTCTCAGAACAAGAACCACATGGCAAGTCTATAATTCTGCAACAATAATTATTTTCAAAATTGTTCTATTTCCCTAAATAATTAAATCTTCCAAAAGACAATCAGAACAAATCTACAAAGTTACTTGGCTCATGTAATTTAAAAATATTTATATAACTTTTTTATTTCGAGCTAAAACGAGCCGAACACGAGCGAATCATTTATAATCGAGCTTTAAAAATTTGTTCGTGTTCGGCTCTGAGCCGAACACAAGCTGTTCACGAACAACAAGCTTTTTTGACAGCCTAGTAAGCATACCCCTTAAGCAGTTGTGTATATTAACCGCCACACACAAGCAATCAAAACATTTGTCAAATATTATCAAATCTAACAATGTGAACTCTCAGAACAAGAACCACATGGCAAGTCTATAATTCTGCAACAATAATTATTTTCAAAATTGTTCTATTTCCCTAAATAATTAAATCTTTCAAATTGGGACATAACAGGCTGCTTATCAACATATCAATTTTCAGAACAGGGAAGAACACACAGATAATTATACTGAAAAAATAGTAATCTATGGAGAATAAAAAGAGAGTTGTGAAGTGTAATGGCAGCCATCAGATTGGGATGCCGTAGTTGACGATCTTCGATGCAGTGTTGCTGAGAGCTTTCTTTTCTTGCTTAACTTGAGAAACAAAGTTTGAAACCTATAAAGAGAGATCAAAGCAGGGATTAATAATAATCATGACAATTCTTCTTTATATATATATTAAAAAGTCCAAGGGCAATTATATTAAAGAGAAAAGGGTACATATAGATTGTATGAGTGGGCTCAAATAGGCACCAAACCCACACGGTACAACACAAAAAAAAGAAAAATAAAAACCCAAAGTAGATGGTACATATAAGATCAATCGGGTCGACCCAATTTAGTTGTCTCTGCCTCTAGTTTTCGGAAGGAAGCCAGCTAACAAATTGGTGAGGTGTGTACCATTGCTCAGAGTAACTAAAGTATCATCCATTAGATTCCTTGGCTCAAGTAGATCTCCATTCTTCTTCTTCTTCTTCCTCATGGAAGTGTGAACCTGTCATTCTTCATCTGAAGATTGTTGTTCATTCCATGGAAGTGTGGACCTGTCATTCTTCATCTGAAGATTGTTGTTCATTCTGATGATGTGTTATTGCCGCAGTAGAAAAATTACCAACAGTTGTGCCCACAAGAGGTGCAAGGTTCTCCTGATTATCAGTATGTGTAGGTAGGGGTCCTTCAGTACAGTTTACAATAGGGTTTGAAAGTGTAAGTTGCTCAGCAGGATCATCTAGCTTCTCATCGATCGCAGAAATTGTATTTTAAGGGGGAGGGTCCACATGCAATTAATTCAGATACCAAAACTTGTCTTGTGGTAGTTTTCTCTCCAGGTAGAACAGATATGTTCAGAGCAGTAGTGTTAGATCTATTTTTATTCACTTGATCTTTAGATTTCAAATTAGGGTGAAGCTTATGACATTTATCAAAGTTATGCCCAAACATCTTACAATAAGAACAATAAGAAAGTCCATGCTCCATAATGATTTTTTGTCAATATTCATTATGAGTTGTGCCCAACCAGACTTCAGTAACATCAGACAAAGTAATATCTCTTTCAACAAGTATTTTGGTCACATAAAGTCTGGTTAGGTTGAAAATGAGTAGATCTAACTTCATAAGATCCCCAAGTATGACATCAATAGAGTAAAGAATTTGATAATGAAAAAAGTGCAGCTTGAGACCAAGTAGACTAAACCATACAGGTACAGTAGGAGGTTCATGATTGGGGTTAAAATCAGAAAACCACTTGAGTAGCTTCATTAGTTTACCAACAATGTTAAAATTTGAGTGTAGTCTTCAGACACGGTTAATTGAATCAATACGTTGTCTCCCATCCATGAGCCTCACTTTCCACTTACCTGCTAATTTGATATCATCAAAACTTTTCCTGATAACATCCATATGTGGGTGTCCCCATTAAAATTTTCCAATAAGGGCAAACTTGAATTTGTCAGACGGTGATGAAATTTCTAACTCAGAGAAAAAAAATATTTTTTCACTTTTCCTGTTTGCATTCTTAATAAAGGAGCAGTCACATGTACCATCACGATGCTCTTTGTAACTTAGCTCTTTGTAACTTGAGGGGAAGACAACCGTTGTCTCTCCCTGAGGATTACCCACCACGTGGGAAAATGAGTTTTGTCAGGTTCAATCGAAGAAAAAGGAAGCTCCTTCACAGCAAGGACAAGGCCTGCCAAGTCGGGTAGAGGGCAAAAATGACGAGCCGAAGAGGTTGGGCTAAATCGTAGTTGTCGAAGCCGGAACAATCACAGCTCGACAAGGTCCACGCAAATGGCAGACAATGACAAGCCGCGGAACAGTTGCAGCTCGACGAGATCCACGCAGAAGCTGGATGGCACGAAGGAGAGACGACGAAACCGCAGAAGCTGGAAGTCCCTTCGTTGTTGGGCAGAAAGAAACGATGGCGCGTAGGAGTCGACGATCGCAGAAGAGATTGACGAACGCAGAATTCGCCGTCAAGTACGAGAACTTCGTTGTCGAACACGACGAGAAGCTGAAGGATCAAACTAGGGTCTCGCCATTGGGCGAAACCCTTGCAGAGCAACCCGCCACCGACGCCATGTATGTTCTTATATATTAAATGGTAGTTCTAATTTGAATTATTGTAAGAAGTCCATCTTCTACAGGCCAAAAACTATGCTCTGATACTAATTTATAATTAAAATTCACCAAAGAAGACCAATGTTTAGTCTTGTCAACAGAATAGGATCGAAGAGGAGCTATTGGGTAATATGTATTATATAAAGTTTATGATGCACGCAAAGACCAAGTTATACTGAATGAAAATAACTTGAAGATTAGTCTGCCATTGAAATAACAAGTTTTTTTTTTATTTATTGTTTAGGGTTTAGGGTTTTACAAGTGGACTAAAGAAATTGCATGTTTTGGGCAAATCAAATTAAAAGAGAATAGGAATACAACTTATCAAACACAAGAAGTTTCACTAATTTATACAGTGGTAATCGTTCACCCATTCTTCATAAACTTGTTCCTTAAATGGCCCAAAAGTTACTTAATTTTCCTATAATGACTCATCCATGAATCCTTGTCTTCTATGCTTCTCCTTTCCTACTTTGAGAGGGAGGCCAGGCAAGAGAGACAGAGAGGAGTTGGTTAGAGATCTTCAAAATGAAATTACCTAATAAATTAATGTAAGGAAAGATCTACAATGGGCCTCTGTTGATAAATATTGAGGGTTGATAAATATGATGAAAATGATGATAAATACAATTTCTAATCCTAACGGTTCTATCAAATAACCTAATCTAAATCTCCTTCAACCCCTTCATGTGGCTAATGAGAAAAAGACTTCATTGTCTAAAAAATTCTTCCAGCCTTTCATAAGGGCTCTTGAATTCTTCTAGACAATTTTTGGGATCTTCTCAAAGTTTTTTGAAGCTATTGCTAGAATATTTTAGAATATTGTCTCCTGGATAAATGAATTAAACCGATACCCATACCTATGTTCAGTTCAAATGCATGGACTTGAAAACAGCCAAAAATTAAACCTAGAAAAGAGAGTGACTACTCAATTCAAAGGTTAATTGTTCAAATACAAAGATTAATGTAAGCTTAATTGCAAAACATTAAAGATTTCTAAAATTAACACTACAACTATTTACATAATATTTCATGGATGAGAAATGGTATCAAAATCAGTTAAAGAGGTGTGTTGACACACTTAAGTTAAAAAACAAAATGAAAATCAAAGTTTTTAAATAATCCACATATTCATAACAATTTGCATTTATTCTTTCATATCCATTAATTATCATAGCGATTGATGTTTCTTGGAAAGCATGCTAGAATTTCCTAATCGAGAGCATGATTCATTTTCATTAACACATAATTTTTTATATTTAAAAAAACCAGGCTAGGTTAAAAGTTAAATGGAGGTATTTTTTATGTGATATGAAAGATTTGGGTGGTATACATGTGAAAAGTAAAGTTTAGGTTTTGGACATGTAAATACATAAGAATTCGGTGGCATGTATGCATGTAAATGCCCCAAAAAAGAAGGGCTAAATCTATAAGAAAATATTTGAATTACATAAACAAAACTAACCGCTGATCTATAACGAGATTTGCATTACATAAACAAAACTAACCGCTGATCTATAACGAGAAGCTTCTCTCCGAGGAAGTTCATGGATAAGATCTTTCAAGCCTGAGAAGAAAATTTAGAGACACACAAATCAAATAAAGGAATCAGGGGGCGTAAAAGTCCATTAAATGTGGTAATGAGGCTAAATTCGTGCATACCCATTACATCTTTCTCAATTTTTCTGATAAAATGCAATTCAGTTTGAATTCCACGTCCTTCATCTCTGCATGACAACTATCATGTCATTTAATGCACCACAAAAAATATAGATGACATGTTAAATAGAATTGGTTGCACTAAATAGATATTAACGAACATGAGTGCCTTTCTCCCTCGCTCCATTTCTTCCTCGGCTTTTAAGGCCCTCTCCTGCAACAAGGGTCGAAAACAAACACTAATATAAGGTCAGTTGTAGCAAACAAGATGACAACATATATCAGCAATATGAAAACAATCAAGAGGTAGCATGGATACCATCTAACAGTTCAAAATGTGATGCAAGTCATGTAAAACTAGAAATTACAAATAAGGATAAGCAAGTTCAAATTTATCCTTGACATTTCAACATAAATTTATCAAGTTATTTAAGAACAACTGCCATTAAAGTTAAATTTTGAGTAAAACTCTATTCAGCTGCTAAAAGAAACATAGCAAGCAGATGTGAAAGTACCCCCAACTTTCTGCTTTCATTCTTCACAAGATTGATTGATTGCCGCAAGTCATTTACTTTTGATTCAGCGCCAGCAAGCATTGACTGCAAAAGAAAATAGATTGCGTCAAAAGAGTAACAGTTATGTCCGCTTCATCTAACAGATCTGAAACAAAAAAACTATATCTAGCAAAACAAAACAAAAAATTAATGGCCAAAACATTCTCGGTTGCAAATGGTTGTACAAGACTAAAAGAAATTCAGACGTACTATTGCCTGGTATAAAGCTTGTCTTGTAGCTCAAAGATATAATAAAAAAAATGATGTTGATTACGTTGAATTTTTAGCCCAGTAGCAAAAATGTCTACTATTCGAATGTTCTCACCTATTGGATATTATAATAATTGGAAAATTTTATAACTAGATAATTCCAATGCTTTCTTGCATGGCCATCTTCAAGATATTGTTTACATGATCCTTTTCATTGATCCTTTTCATCCTACTTCAGGCCCCCAAGCATGGTTTGAAATTCTCTCCTCTCATCTACTTCCTTTTCATTGATCCAGTTTACATGATCCTTTTGGTCAAGTGAAACTGATCCTTCCTTGTTTTTATATCATCACAATGCGATACAGCTTTGCATTCTTATATATGTGGATAATATGCTATTAACAGATAACTATTCTACCATGAATCAAAATCTGCTTGATAGTCAATAAAAATGATTCAACGTGAGAAACTTGGGACCGGTATCATACTTTCTTGGTATACAAATCAAAGCTCAAACCACTAGAAAACACCTAATTAATCTAAATAAATACTCAAGCTGCTAGAAAAAAATGTAATTAAAAACTGTAAAAACGTTTCTACTCCCTTGCAGTTCTTCAGCCACCACTGTTGTTTCTGAAATTGTTTTCAAATCCTAAACTCTACCAAATTTTAGCTTGTTCTTTGTATTATGTCATATTACAAATACTTCAATATGAGTACCCTCCATCGCAGACTTCTCATTGCCAAGGGTGATTGTATTTTGTGGGTAGATCGATAGTTCACGATAGGATACTCTCCTTACCTTGGTCCAAATCTAATCTCTTGGATTGTCTAAAAGCAATCTACTGTTATAAGATCCTCCACAAAAGATGAACATAGAGCTCTCAGAACAGCTGCTCCTAACTTCATTTGGCTATGTCATCTCAGAATTTTTATACCTCTTAATGAGCCATCTCCATTATACTATTATGATAATTCAGCAATAGCGCTTGTAAACAATCTTTGTTTCATTCTTGCACGCATTGAAATCGATTATCATTTCATTTGAGAATTTATTCTTCATCAAACTATTACTGTTCATCATATTTCATCTCAAGACCAATATGCTGATATTCTCACAAAGGTTCTTCCTCGTCGTCGATATCACTTATTAAGGAACAAGCTAAGATTCTAAAAAAGGATTGTACCTTGACGGGAGGTGATAACACAAATAAGGATCATTTAGCTGAAACAACCAAAAGCAATATCAACCACTCAAGAAAAACAAACTCCTGGCATATGAGGGTATATTAGATATTGTAGCTGATGTATTGATAACAGATATCTTTATATATACATGTATCAAAGACACAACAAAGTGAAGAAAAATGATTATTACATTTGCTATTAATCCCTGCTCTCCTGTGATCACATTTTTCTGTTTTATGTACATTTCCATTCTTACAATGATATCTATCATCCCTCACACTCCAAACACATTTAGCAGGATTTACTTTCAGTATGCTGATCCAACATCCAATGCGAAGGAAGTATGACAGCCACTAGGGTCCAATTTGATCATTCATTACTCTCCGCTACAAACTACTCAAAAAAGCTATCTAAGTATTTGATCAGAATGAAACATGTTTCTACAGGAATTAGGAAAGAAATATTATATTCTGCCGGTACTAGATCAAAACGATACAATCCCTTATACATAAATAATAAACACCTACAATTTGAGAGGTAAGCGATCTCTCCCAAACTCTAACTCTAAGATTCAAGAAAACAATCACACATGACCTAACTCTACATATGTTAAGCCCTATTTATACCCCACAATAATAACTAACAAATAACTAAATTACCCGTTTTGTCTTGTGCCTAACATAAGTCTTCAAATTATTTGGCAAGCTTGACATTCACTCAGTAGAGCACAAGGCAGACAACAGTGTAAATAACAATATCTGAGATGCAGTATACAATCAACACAGTTAAACCTTGAGCACATTGTAATCCTCAACAAAAACAACAACTTCATTGTCATCATCCACGCTCTTTAATCCATCATTGTACTTGTGTCCTATATCCCCTCACCTCTCTCCTCAGCTTATCTTCTCATCCTCAAGACCTACTACTCATTAATTTAATGCTCTTGCACGAACATATAATCTAAGTTATCTCCATGTGTGCATCTTTTTGCTCTAACTCCTGCTATTTCCACATAGCTCCTTATCAAATTGACCATCACGACCAAACCCATCATCACCCCCATTTGGAGTATTTGCTCTCATCTCTTTAATCAAGACAAACAATAGGCCTCATCGTCTGGCTCTTCAAGGAACGTTCTCCCAAAGACAACACTTCAGTAATGGAAATTGCTCTGAGAGGTATGTGAGGCACTATGGCCTCATGTTGCCTTGATCAAGTGCCCAAGCCAAGCTAGCAATTAGATCACTTTTAAGAAGACTTCTATAAGTTATCATATTTTGTCAAATATAAATACAGCCAAAACAATTCCTTGGATATCTTCCATTACAAGTGTATGGAATGCTAACCAAACTTCTAACTCAATATCCATCCTAGAATAATCATTGCCTAAATTAGTTTCAAAGTTCATAAGAGAAAAGAGACTACATCATTTCTATTATTGTCAATGAAACATTGGTGTAGGTACAAACCATTTGGTCCCTTGCACCATTTTTTTAAGTTTTGCCACTTGTTTAACATTGCATAAACACCTTTAACACAACATGAAACTGAATTACACACATTCCACATAAATAATGTCATTCTAATAATGAGAAGGAAAATTCATGATATTTGATTTTGAAGTTGTGTAATATAAAAAAGAGTGTAATTTTTTTCCTGTTTTTTTATTATGATGGACATAGATGTCAATCATAAATTTGAATTTACTTATAATATAAAACATTAAGCGTTAAATCATGTTCAACCCATGTTGTGTTCTATATGTTTCATAAACTATTACAAACCTTGTTTGTTTGTGTTGACTTTGAGTCCATGCACATAGATTCTGGCTTTCGGAAGACAATGGTTGAAATGTTCAGAGATTAGTTTTCACCATTGTAAAACATTTCTAGCATCCTAAGAAGTGAATATTTGAAAGCATTAAAAATAAAAATTCACATTGATACTATGAATTTGGTTTAGACTTCACAAAATCAACTCTCATTTTCACATATTTCCACACATGGCGCTCACTAAAAAAATGCATGAACTTTCATGGTATTAAATTTTTATATGACCAAGTCGAAAACAATAATCAAAGTTTCTAAATCTGTAGTTTGGATAATCTTGGATCCAATATATCAAGTTTTTCCTCTCTTTTTTTCGATAGCTACGTTTAAAAATATGATGTGGATACAATATGACCTAGGATATTGGTTAAAACAAAAGCAACTTAGTTCTAACAAAAAATCATAGAACATAAATCACCAGAAAATTTGATAAACTAACAAACCTCTTCACTCAAAAATAACCGCCTCGTATTCCGTATTATAAAACTTCTTGGTCCTGCATGATTAGAAAATTGAAGACAACAGCTCAAAAATATGGTTTGAACATTCCACATTCTCTAAAACAATAACTATTCTTGAACAAGGAAACAAAAATAAAACAATAAAACATATTTTCCTTTACGACAAGTACTGTGTTATACTATATGTGATTGCTTTCTAGCCCAAATGTCAAATGCACCATCCAATTAGAAGCAATTCAACTTGATGAAAATGAGGGAAAACGAATGCTACAGCACAATAAAGAGAACAAGACATAACTCTTCAAAACTACAAGCCCCACTCCTCCTGCGACAGCAAAAGAAATGCCGGGATGAGAAGCTGCGACATAAATACCCTCTGCAAAATCACAGCCATTAAAATTATCAATGTCCACAAAATGATTATGAGAAGCGAAGCGAAGGATCATGCCAAACAAAAGAGAAAAAAGGAAAAAAAAAAAACCCTTAATCTTCTCCACCGCCAAATCCTCGTACGCAGTGTACTCGCTCTTCACCAATTTCAACATGCCCTGCGAATCCATCAAAATAACAATCACAATCCAGCGAAAACACCTTAGTAAGGGTAGTATAGAAAACCTGTGCTTCATGGAGGCTGTCCGAAGTGGTAGAAAGAATCTGAGAGAGTCCGGAACGAACAGTAACTACGGCGTCATCCGCGGCCGCGGACAGGGTTTGCTTAAAGCTAATAGCCTCGCCAATGGCGTGCTCCAGCAAACGCTTTGCCTCCTCCGGTATTCCATTAGCAGCCGCCGGCTCCCTTGCTGTTCTGTTCTCTGATCCATCGCCGGCCGTCGCCATGCTCAGTGGAAGCGATGATTTTTCTAAATTCAGACCTCGAAGCTGCCTTCCGCGCTATAAAATTAACCTATACTAACATGTTCTAACTCGGGTCTTGGTTTAAATGCTGCGGCATTTACATATATACCACAAAATTTTTTGACTTTTACATATTTAACACACATTTTTTTATATTTGCAAGTATAAACTTAAATTTTTAACATCATGTCAAAAATATCATGCTTAATCATTTTAGAACTTTTGAGTCTCTATTGTTCGTTGGTATATACGACTCCTAACACTCTGAGAAGAGTAGAGTGTTATAAGACATAAGTAAGACGTAAGAGATCCTTGAAGTGAAACTTGGTAAATATATTAATTTCCAAACTTCGGTTAGTCGGAGGAAAGTGGGTCCTCCAAGGTATCTTCACTCTTCTGAGCCATCTTCAATTCACAGATTTTTGGAGAGAGAGAGAGAGAGAGAGAGAGAGAAAGAACTCTTAAGAAAAGTTCCGGAGCCTTTTTAGGAAAGAGAGCTTAAAAGAGAAAAAGATTATTAGTCTATTTTTTCTCATTGACCATTCTCATAAAAAGATCATAAAATTGACCTAACAATACATCAAGGATTGTATTGTTGACTTTTCTTTGATGTCTTGATAGAAGATCAGTATCATGAATATAAAGTGTTATTCGGTAATATCAGATATTATGGATACAACGCCCATCATTAATACATGAGCTATGGGAATGAATCCCAGTGTTGGTGTTGCCTTTAAATGAGGAGTTGACAGTTGCCCTAGTTGTCATGATAACTTTCTAGAATTGCTACCTCCACATGGATATGCTAAATCATTCTCTCGAGAAAGATGATGATAAGCTGGAGCAACTTCTTCAAAGTAGGGCTAAATTTAGTCCTTCGACAGACTAGTTCAATTCACCCCCTTCAATTTATTGGTATAATTCTCGATCATGCAAGACAAAAATCAATTAAATTCTTTGAATCCCCATATTAATATACATACTAATATTATTTTTAAAAAAAGGAATACAAATGATTAATTATGAACATAATACAACTACATTTGCTATATTTATTATTAATATAAAGTATCATAGATTTAAATGAAATATTTATTATTAATATCAAGCATAGTCTTGTAACAGCCTGAACATTCACCCATCAAGTATTGTCCGCTTCAGCCTAATCAGCTCACGATTTTATCATGTTAATACGACTCCCAAGGAGATCATCCGTCCTAGGAGCACTCTAGAGCACGCACACATAACTTTGAAATTTCTAATTAAACTCCACGTTACTTCAAAAGGACGCCTTGATATTTAAGATTTCAGCTACATAAAAGGGTATTCACAATTCAAAATTTTAATTAAAGTTTTGGATACAACTCCAATAGCCGTATCAATCCAGAATGTTAACTTAGATTACAATGTAACACACCATTTTGGGGAGCTATATAATTCATAATTACCATTTGTTTCGACTTTTTGGAGAATCTAAGCTAAGAAAACCTCTCGGAAAAGTTCCTAGTCCAAAGCAATGGAAGAAAGGACAGGGAAGGGAGAAGCTAATTGATCTTTGTTCAGAACATGGGTCTCTTATTAATCATTTATTTCTGGGAAATTTACATCAGTAGCACACAATCCTTATGCATTTACATATCTCAGGCCTAAATTTCCATATTTACACACAGCATGCTTTGGTATTTTAAACTTTTACATTAAGAAATGTATCAGGAGAAGCATACAACATAAACTAAGAAATTCAGCAACAGCATTGCTGAACAGAAGAGAGCAACTGTGAATAGTTTTATTATTTATCATACTCAACAGTTCCTCAGCAACGCTTATCTTCCTTAATTTTATTTTATTTTTTTCTACACCTGCAGCTTTGTTTGTTTGTTCAAACAATAGATCATCTTCTTCTTCTTTGTTGGATATGTCTTCGTCATGCCTCATAATATTGCAAGTTCCTTCAACAGCAGTCATGCCTTTCCCATTTACTGCTTTCCTGCATATGCAAATCAATAATTAAAGAAGATTACAGAATATAAAGTAAAATGAAAATGTAAGAATCCTTGCCTTGAGGTAGACCTCGGCAATTGCCCTTTTTATGATGCCTAGCCTTCTAAATATGCCACATCATTATAGGAAGACTTGCGTACATACCACTCGATGCTTTTGTATTTTCATTTTTTACATTAATGGTACCTTTATCTATATGAGAAGATATATTTCACTTTTAAAAGTTAAAATAGTGTTTCTTTTGATGTGATATGGAAGATTTGGTTGGCTGGTACAAATGTAAAAAGTAAATTATGTGTTGGATATCTATATAGTTAAGGAAGTGGGGGTTACCGTCACCGGCGAGGGATTCTCCATCTTCTCTCCACTTGCTCTTCTTTGGCCTACCTGAGAGCAATTTAAAGTCCTCTTCTTCATCTGTGTCATGTTTCCAACACCAGGTATAAATTATACCTTTATAAGCCTTCTCATAGCATCCTTCCAACAGTAGGTAATAGAAAAAGCTGTTTTATATGTCATTACTACTAAGATTTAACTTTCATTAAACAATTTCTCATTAGACAGATAAATGACAAAGATTTTCCTTAATCAACAACTTTAAACTGTGAAACAAGGACACTTACATATCACACACACAATTCTTAGATATTTACATCTCTAACAGCTAAGCATTCATATTTACATGCATAACCCTCAAATTTTTAACATTACATAAAAAAATATCATCATTACAATCTTTTTAAAGGTTAAATAAACCTTTTCATGCATAAACATATGACATCTAAGTGTTATAAGTGTAATTAACAAATTTTGGGTGTTAGATATATAAATACAAAAGAATTGGGTGGTATGCGGTGGTATGCATGTAAATAAATTTCCCTAATAAATATTATCCTCATTCACATTGTTTCTGCTGCTTCTTTTTTTCTTTTTCTCGATCCCATATTTTAATTCTGGAGTCACTAAGCGCATGTCAACTTGGAATCCTTGGTCCTCTAGATGCATTCCAAGAATGCTTCCTAAGCTAAACCCAAAAAATGTCTTCTTAAAATTATCAAGAACTTGTCTGCAAATATATCTTTGGTTGGCAAGTGGAAACCACAAACTGATTGCATCATTCAAACCCTTAAATAAAAAATAATCATAAAAGAAAGAATAAGTAGGAATAGCTTAAAACAATCGAAATGAAATCACTGTAATTCAATAGAAAAGTTTTTTTTTTTTAATTTTACTATTGGTAGTGAAAGGTTTGACCTGCATAACTCCAAAGAATTATTTGAGAATTACAAAACCCTTCAGATATTCCCATGTCAAACCGATACAACTGTTATTGGCATTGGATGAAAACAATAGTTTTCATTTACAATCTTTCAGAGCGACATCATCTATCAGTTTTCATGCTATCAGCAATATACACCAGTTTTCCATTCACTTTTAATTTTTATGCTGCCGGAACTTACGCTAAACTTTTTTTAGTGAAATAAATTTCACACAAGAACGTTTCATATTTTAAATCAATGAGTTCTAAAATAACCAATGATTCTCTTCAACTTATTAAAAGCATGAAATTAAAGATCATAATCAAACTTACTATTTGGCCAACTTTACTTAGCATGCTAGATTTCTTTCTGTGCCAATGTCTGCTAAGTACACCAACTCTGTGCAAGTATGGTGTTTTTTCCTTTCAAAAAAAAAAAATATGGTTGTTTAAGAAGATTAAATAAATATTAGGTGAAACTCTTCCCAAGATCAGAGAGAAGAATCATCCGTTTTCTCAAGGTACAAAGAAGAATTCAGTTCAAACTTTGTGATATTTAATTTAAATATTTCACATATAACATGATATCTTTTTCGATAGAGTTACAACTATAAGCATAACAAACTTTTTGAGAGAAAAAGTTAGGCTTAGGTTAACAGACATACCTTCTGTTGTTTCACTTCCAAATTGGATCAAGAGCAAATGATGGCACGGCATCCAGCAAATGTAGTTGGCGAGACAAACATAACCTGTGTGATCTTCAAGAATTTTATTGAAGATTCTAAACATTGAAATCCATAAATTAATACCAAAATTTATGCTCATGACATTAAGCGCTCCCTTTTCTTTGTCCAATTCTGTCTTAAACAAAGCTGGCTTCCGAACACAAGAAACATATTACGAGGACTAAATATGCCACGTAATAATGGCATACTTCAATCCACCAGATGGATTATCAATATCCGCTAGCGGCAATAAAAATCTTGTTCCAATGCTGCCCACAAGAGACATCTAATTCGATTGAACTTATAAAATTTGATTGACACCAAGAACCAAAATCAGATCAAGTCTCCAAAAATAAAATAATGCCAAGATATACTTGTATTTACCGTAAATGGCTGTGCAGCAAACTAACTCAGATCAGTTTTCCAGTTCCAATTACAGATTCCTCATATCGGCCTGTACTGTTAAGAAAAAAAAACTATTTTAAAGGTTGCTTAAACTACAGAGATCATGTACAGCCATATATTATTTCAGAGCATTATATGGAAGGAATAGACTCATACCTTAGTAAAAAGTAGGCAGCGAACAACAGAGAAAACCTTAATATTAAGTTAATAAAAAATAATACTTCACAATTTCTAAATGGAACAGTTGATCCGGACATAAGAATAGAACTATTGCGAAAACTCATTTCTCAGTCAATGCTTGGTACAATCTTTCGAAGCAACCTAAATGATGGTGCTGAACTTGAAATATATTCATCAGAAATCTGAGAGAATTCACTTTCCAGTATACTGTATGCGTCTGCAAAAGCCTGTCAAACCCAAAGTGTAAGAGAATAATCAAATAAAATCAACCAAAAATAGTGTAATCGTTTTTAGCATTTTGGTCACTTTTTCAAACAATTTGAGCCAATCCATATTCCTTAATTTTTTAATCCGCGGCCAAACCATCATAAATGTTGGAATTCTATCCTCAGTTGATTCTTTAAGTCTTATAGTTGATGTTTTAATTACTATCTTAATATATATGAATCCTTTTTAAACTCAGAAATACCATAAGAATATTTTAATACCACTATTAATTATGAAATTACATCTTATATTTCACTATAATAACCTCTGATTATTATAATGCCAGCAGCTAAATTTTGTCGTTAGTGAAGTGGTTCTGACATAAAAGAGTTCATTTTGGGTTGACTTGAACTTCAGTGTCATGTTCCATAGTTTTTATATAAAGTTCCGTTTCAATTATTTGGGGAAGAAGAAACGAACAGCCGGAAGATCAAACAAAGAACCAAAGAATAGGAGACGAACTGAGAAGGAGAGGAAATGAATAGAAAGGAGAAGAAATGAGGAGTCGGACAATAAAGGTTGGAGAGGAATTGAACAGTCGGGAACTCAGAGATCACTTGCGTCCTATAAAACAATGGATGGGAGGAAGACGAGGCAAGTCCAAAAGAAGAAGAAAGTAGGAGAAAGGAAGAGAAAGGATGAGAAGGGGAAAGGAAGGGTGTGATTCACCTAAGTTGGAAGCTCAAGCGTAGCAGAGGAGACGGCGTCGGAGTCGAGCAAAGAAAGACGAGCCATATGTTGAAGCGGGAGGGGAAATCGTCGAGCAGAAAGGAGGCGGCATCTCTACTGCGCAGCGGAGGAAGAGGCGAAAAGTTGAGATCGTACTTTCTTGTGAGAGGGAGTCCAAGGATTAGGGCTTAACTGAAGACGGTAATATTTATTTAAATTGACTTACTACTAAAAATTAATAATAATAATAATAATAATAATAGAATATATATATATATATATATAATAGAAATTAAGCGGGATTACAAGAGGTAAATTTAATACTTAAATATAGAAAAGATAATAGTTTATTAAAATAATAAATTAATTAAAATTTATACCATGTTAGGTTTCCAATTTTAAGAGTCGACCTTGAGGCAAATTAATCGTCATTGAGGTGAGTACTTATTATCTAATATTATTATAACATTTTGTTTCTTCTAGACCAAATATGTTTATTGATATTATCATTAGTTTTATTAAAATTACTGCAAACTCGGAATTTTGAATTCTAGTTATTTTTTGTTCAAATTGTAGGAATGATATGTGCATAAATATATTGACTGCTATGCAAATGAGAAATAAATATTTAATATTAAGAAGTGATATTTTTTTGTATGTTTGTATGTACATGATTGACTATGATAGAATCACCCTTTGATGGTACAAGTGGAATAACACTAAGGTACCAACACGTAAATGAAAAAAATATTAATATTGAAGTAACTTAAGTTGGTACATTATTGATATAGTAAGATTGTAGAGATATAGAATAATATTAGTGCGTTATTGATATAGTAAGATTCATTGATAGCATCTCAAATGTTTATATTGATTTATTAAAAGATTAACTGACATACATATTGTTTTTTCTTTTCCTTTGTATTATTATAGTTTAAGGATGTATTAATATAGTTTAGTGATACAAGTATTCAGTGGCTTGTTTAGCTCATTCTTAAGTAATTAAAAGTTTTAACTTTACAAGTTGATTAAGTAATTAAAAGATGAGCGATACAAAAAAGAACACTCATAGAAGATGCAGATATTCAGTAACGATATAATTTTAAATATATTAGTAATTAAAAGATGAGCGATACAAGAAGAACACTCATAGAAGACGCAGATATTCAGTAACGATATAATTTTAAATATATTGTTTTAAGTTAATTTGATTGGCGGCTCTTTTATTTGTTAAATTTTAGATAAATATAAAAAATTTAGTTCCCACAATCCGACCGTCTGTTCATATCTCGGTTATTTCCAAGCCTCAGGTCGGGTCGTGACAATTCAGACTAGAAGTTTAAGAGTTGATATTATCCTTAAACGATCAACGTTGAAGCTTCCCAGGGAAACTACTTTAGCATAAGGGTCGTTGTTTTCATTGTTGACCAAAAACACTTCTTCCGTGTGTATCTAATTCTTTAAGTTTGAATGCACAACATTTATTTTTTAACAAATTTAATGAAAAGAATATCCATAACCAATTATCAACCCGCTTCAACAACAAATATCAGAGACAAACTGAAGGATTCAGCCAATAGATAGAGAAGCTTGGCTTTGCAACAATTGACAACTTAAAATTTAGTCAATAGTTCATGGAAGTTTGTGTTTATGAACCCTTCCACATATTTAGAGTTACGTGGGCTCTATAGCAAACATTATTTGTACAAAGAAAGGGGCATGCATAAAATGGTTTGATTCAAGAAACAAAACAAATTGAACATTTTTGGTCAGTGACCTTCAAGAAGTTCAAGCAAATCATAGGCAAGATAATAGCTCTTCAACAAAATCTATAAACTAGGTCTCCAAAAAAAAGTTCAAGGTCAACAAATTTATGACTTCATTTTGAGAAGGCTAATTGTCATGAAGATATTTAATTATTCCTGCTATAGTTCTGAAGCAAGTGAGCAGACAAAACGAATGGAAAACTTATATTCCTTGTTGGTTTTATTGTAAAAATTTAATTCCTCACCTTGATGCATTGATGTATCCTAAAGCAATTCCGCCCAACATTATTAGTTGGAAAGAGGGGGTCGTCAATATGTATTGGATCGATGCTACATGAAACACATTAATATGAGAAGAATATGTTAAAGATTTAACAAAACAAAATTTCTGACAAATGATTTCAAACCTGAGGCCTCTTTCTCTTTTCATATAAAGTCCACTTCCTTGGATTGAAATCCCCATTTGGCGTGGATCAAAAACATTCCTGAACAGAAAAGGACTTTCAGATGAAGAGAGTTTAATGAAAAGAAAGAAATGACCCATTGTCAAAACATGCCAAACACTGTATTTGAAATACAAATATAAAGAAAAATCTACTAGCACTCACCCAAAAAAGTAAAGGAACTCCATCAAAAGACTTCCCAGGTTCTGCAATCATTTAATACAAAGTGAATTATTCAGAATATGTTCTCAGCAGTGAAGCTAATAGAGAGTTATGGCATTGACCTTAGGTTTTCTAGGTATGGCAGACTTAAATGAAAGGATCCAAACAGGGATCACGGTAAAGGACACTTAAGTAGCTTAACCTACGTTCTCATTTGGCACATTTATTCAAAACTCAGACTAGAAAGATATGTTACCTGGTACATATTGTTTAATCTTTATGGATTCATGATTTTATGTCAAGGAGCAGATGATTAAATGAATTCTCAATAAAAATAAAAGAATTGCTCACTTTAAACAACAGAAAGTATCCAGGATGCCACATTTAGACTGAAGATTGATCTTCCAACATACATAAAACTTGCCAGTGTAAATAATGTAATGCTAGCCTCTCAACTGAGAAATAGGTCATGCATCTGATTTCAAACCAAACCAACTTACTTCACCGTGATTCAGGACACCAATGATATGGAAAATAGAGAACTATAGACATTAGGATTTAGGATACTATAAGCCATTTGAAAAATCAGCTCATAATACAATGCAACGCAAAATATGGTTTATCACATACAAAAAACTAGCCATCTAAATGAAACAAAAAAGAGATACGGGTCCAATCTAATGTGAATATCCAAATCCACATTTCAAACAATAAATTGCTTCAAATCTACAAGGTAATGTTCAAAACATGAATATAAAGCGGCCCAATGAAAGGCAACTCACAAAATCCTTCAAAGCTGCATTTCAGAAATTACACAGCTGCAAGGTTCAATGGCAGGGTACTCTAAATCTATGAACCTGACAATGGTGTCGCGCGCACTGTGAGCTTTACTAGATTGACTACAAATTACATTCCAATTGATAAATAAAGTACATATAGGAAAAATGAGCAAATTGTTTCAAGAAAGTAAACAACAGAAATAGAACATTTACTTGATTCATGTAATAACCACAATGGTGCTCATGTTGAAGGAACCGTGTAATCAGTAAAACCTGCAAAAATAGCAAAAATAATTTAGTGCGGTTAAATGCACCCCAACAATCAAAATTATTTTTGCGATAATGGAACGGCTAAATTACTAGTTGCACAACACTTCACACCGTAGATCACTCAGAATTTTCAAAAACAAAATTTAACAATGATACAAATGCATCAAATTTCTTTGATATCACAAAGAAACAATTAACTTAAAGGAAATAGCGATACAAGGTAAGAACAGTAGTGTATTAAAGCCAGTGCATAGATCAACTACTTAATATATAAAATTGAACAATTGGGTTATCAGAGCAAGACGTTAACGCATATTTGGTTAAGATGAAAATTTAACTCCACTAAAAAATAAAGGTGCAAAGGTAGAATGAAATGATTCACATCATGTGCAGCCTCTAAAGGTGTTCATCTCTCCACTTAGATCATTCAATATTGATCCTACGATACGATCCGGAATAAAAAACAGCGAATATATTGCACTAGAGAGGCAGAGAGACTAAGATGAGGGCTTCTTTTATCAAAACTAGGGGTGCAAACGAGTCAAGTCGAGCTCGAACCATGCCAAGCTTGAGCTCGACTCATTTGGCAAACTGTGAGCTCAAGCTAAAATGGCGAGCTCGAGCTCGGCTCGTACTAGTAACAGTTAGCTCACAAGCTCGAACTGAAAACTCAATTTTCAAGGGAGCTCGCCAGAGAAGGTGTTGGCGGCTGAAGGAGGAGCCGTCTATGGGAGCACATCAGAAAGTGGATCGAAAATACTAGTGGTAAACTAATCGCACCGGCTCGCGACCCAACGAGCCGCTTCGGGACGAGCTCGAGCTCGTGGATTGATGTGCCTCTAGTGTGTGATGTTTCTCTGCGTGTTTTATGTCAATTTAAATCCCTGGTACAGTGTCAAAAACTTGACCCGTCCCGAAATTACGTAGTAATTTAGTTTAAAAAAATATGGCTAATAAATAATGTGCAAAATTGAAATATTATAAAATATAGCAAATAGTTCACACACTATGGGTTCTACGCAAGTGCACATATCGCTTCAAGTAATATAAAATTTTTTGATTAAGCTTCAAATATCGATCCTACAAGGAAAAGAGGAATGAGATCCTTAGTTAAATTTTAGTCTACTACTATTAGTCCTTAGTTTGGAATGTTGATTAAAATAATGTTTTATCTAGCAACTACTCCTAAATGTGAATGTTAAATGTAAGGATAATAACTATTCCTAAATGTAAATATTAATTCTAAAGATAATCCTTTTTGGATGAATTGGTTTGGAGCATTTTGAGACCTTAAAAACTGTTATTCTTATGTAGTAAATTGGATAACGTAAATGAATGAGATACATTAAATATTTTATGTGCCAAATAGGAGCAAATTTAATCAGGAGTAATTTTAATTATATACCCTCAGACAAGTGTTATTGAAAATCGTTGGTTAATCTTAGATTTAGTCTCTAAATCTGTGGTTAGACTAGGAGGATACTGACTCTCACTCCAGAGCGCCCACTTCCTTTCCCCTAAAGACTAACTCTCGTTTTAGTTCTTAAACACTAAAACAAAATTAGGGATTTTAGTATGTCACCCTAGAATCTCCAACTCTTCGTCCAGTAATATATAAATTTCCATATTTACTTACATTCAAATACTATGAACTTCACCATCCATGGAATTTGAATGTGATTCTCATATTTACTTACATTCAAACACTATGAATTTCACCATCCATGGAATTTGAATGTGATTCTACTTTGTTGAGAATTACACCGACCTCTCGGGTCTTAATGCAATTACAACGAATTTTAACACTACAACGGACCCTTATTGTAATGTAAAGGAAGTGCAAGTAGAAACCATAAATTTATAATCAAAACTTTTTCTAGCATACATCCCAATATTTTAAACATGAATACTACTCATTACAAGAGAAAAGTAAAATAAAAACAATGCATAATTTTTTCATGTCACTATTTCCTAATAGAACAAAAGAGTAAGAAAGATACATCACAAAGCACGAAGAAAGCATAACGGAAAACTTCTTTTCATCAAAGCAAATCTACTAGATAAGTGTTTACAAAATCATAAGATAATGAAGAACATAATACTTAGTTTTTTTCCCTTGAAAGAAAGATAAAAATCTATCCCACAAAGTCTCCCGCTGATCCATGCAATGTTAAAACATCTCCTTACAGATTCTCTCAAAATCTCCACTCCAATCTCTCAAAAAAGGTAGAAATCTATATTTCTACTTCTATTCTAAGATCTATAAACATTCTCCACTATTTTAAGATCTATAAACATTCTCCACGTTTTTCTACTCACAACACCACCTTTCTGACATAAAATCGCTCTATTATAGTGTAGGGATGAATTTCCCAAAAGATGTCTCAAGCAACCTTACAAAAAACGTCCAAATACATTGAATCTCGGTCATAATCGCCCAAAATCGTGTCCAAGCTGTCTCGGTCGTCGTCGGCGCCGTTTTGGGCGCTGCCGGCGCCATATTTTCGTCGATCTGAATTTGAGCGCCGGTTTGGACGCCTTCGGCGCCGGTCTGTAGCAACTTCACCGTTTTCAGCTACGTTTCGCCCCGTTTCAGTTATGTTTCGTTCCTAACAGATAGACTTATAAAATAAACATGAAAATAACATCATGAAAATAACCTTTCTTTGAAGTGTAATTTTATTCAAAAATATATGAGATGTGTGAAGTAGATTAAGCATAGAAAAACATATCGAAATGTGTCAGGACATAATTTTCTTTTTTGCTCGTTTTTGCTCCAAATTGCACTGTTTTTGCTTCTTTTTCTCCAAAACTCCATTTCCTATACCTAAAACCAAAAATATACAAAATGTCTTCCTTTAAAGTGTAATATCATTAAAAATTATTAAAATTGAACATAAAATAGATATGAAAAAGTAGGTAATTTTTAGGCGTATCATGGATCGATAACAAGCCAAACTCGAACCATCTCGGCTCATTTGCACCCCTAATCTAAACAAATGAAATCAAAGAAGCTACAGCGTTGATCTACTATTCAAGAGGTAAATCATCTCTCCACAAACCCTAGAAGCAGCAAGGAACACCATCAAAAAGAAAAACAACTACATCCAAGCAAAACATAAAGACAAACCCTAGTTGTTAGCCCTCTGAAATACTCTCCAAGGTCCCTTTCAAACTTCCCCCCAAAATCCCCCTTTTCCCTTCCTCCTATATGTGATTAGGGCTTAGTGGACCCTACCAAGGTGTTGAATCGCTCTCTAAATTTTCTAGAGAACCTCTAGCCTTGGTCGTCAGCCCTCCTAAACACTCTCCAAGGTCGCTTTCTCTAGCCTTGGCCGTCAGCCCTCCTAAACACTCTCCAAGGTCGCTTTCAAACTTTCCCCTTAAAATCTCCTTTGATTTCCTTCCTTCTATATGTGATTAGCAGCTTACTGAGTCGTGCTGGAATTGTTGTCTTTTTTCGAGAACCCACCCCTTTAGGCTTGGTCGGCTATCTTGGCCAGATCACCGATGGGTCTGACTTGGTATGGCCGGTTCAGACATGTTCTTCCAAGACCGATTCTTCTACAAGAACATGAGTCGTGGTTGTTCCTTCGTGGGAGGGAGGCAAAGAAGGCACAAACATATCATCCTCACCTGCATCTTTCTCTTTGTATTGTTACTGATGTCCCACTTTCATACACAACGGATCTGTGTCAATATCCAGAAAATTTCCCTTGCATCCAAGGTCCCCAACAAAGCCTTCTGTTGGCCCGTTTTGAAGCTTATAGTCAACGTGCCCAATGCGCATCCATTGGCTGGTTCTGTAACCCAAATAATAAGCTTTTCAACACACACATCTCATGCTCCACAGCTTTGATCGCGCTCTATTACAGTCATTGTGTTTGTCATGGCATGTGATTGCACCACATAGCCAATTGCTACAATTTGTTTTATGTGGTCAACTATTTGCTCACTCTGAATCAAGCTCCAGCCCCTACTCAGCCATACATTCTGCATTGCTTGCACACCCTCGCCCTTGATAAAATCAATCCTACCACCTCCACTATTGGCACAACCTCCCTCAACATGGCATCTGCTCAACTCCTTGCACAATCATGTCCAGATTGCAAATTGCACGCCATTCTCATATTTTTTTCATGTTGTAACCTTCCTAATTTTTCCCTCATTCTTAAACTCATGTACTCTAGACATGCAGAATATACCGCCTCACACAATCCATTTATAGAATATTATCATGAGAAGATAATCATAAATTACAATTTGCATATCATAACCACTTAGAAGATTGAGAGGTCAAAATGTACAGTTCATATCATGATTGTTGTCAATTATATCATTATGATTAAGAATATTCTTACACCCAGTGTCTAGATCTAGACACACCATATCATGACAATTGTGCACTCAAATCAACCATATCATGTTCTACATCAATCAAATCATGATAGCCATACCCACTATTGCCTCTAAAAAGACACCCGCCCAGAATCAGAAACTTTTAATCGAACTTTTCCTAAAATCGAGTATACAATCAACCTAGGCCTCATGAAGTACTATTTAATGTCAAATTAAATTGATGCCTTGAGGAAATAAAATCCCAAGCTCTTTAAGTTAACTACTCCGATATCTACTCAATACAGCCATCTCCTCCTTGCAAGTGTAAGCATGAATGTAATGTAGTCAATCTTAAGCAAAAATGTGTGCCTAACAATGGTTTTTAACAAAAACTTGCATGTGTAATTTTACGAGACTCTGCTGTTTAGTCTGAAGGGCCTTCAACAAGTATTGATGGATTTAATAAAATATTGAACAAAAAAGGCATTTCTCAAGTATCACATTTTCTCTTTCATTCACCCATACCTCCTCTCTCCTTCCAATGTGTCTCTTCTCCAGTACAGTAATACAAATACTACCAGAAACACAGACAGCTAGGACCCAATGTTAGAGTTCTCACTTCCAAAACAGTAAAGTGGCAAGTTCATAATTGTCCAATAGAAGAGATTCTGACTTGAAATGTAATCCAAAAGCTGCTGGTTACTAGAGCTTCTAATCCATTGTTTCGGTGGTAAAATGTTAATCTGCTTCAATGGTTGTAGGTTTCAATGGTAAAAAAATACTAGCATAGAAATCACTTGTTACAATGCCGGTAATATATTTAGATTTGAACATTACAATTAACATATGATCTTAGAAATTATTACTGTTAATAGTTGCTAGCATACCGAGAACTTGTTTTATCAAGCAATTAAATGCATTGGATAACCTTTTATCCTCGCATTGTTAATCATCAACATGACATGTTCTCCTCATGTCTCTTCACAGAAGTTCAATAATCAAACAAATGCAAAGATAAATACGGAATAAAAATGGATGCTAATATGGACGTGATGATAAAGAAAAAAATAAAAAATAAAATTTATTTTTTTTGGCTGTGTTTAGGTGGTAGCAGGAAGCAATGAGTAAAGCAAGAAGCTGACTTGGGCTGTTCAATAGTTAGCAAGCAACTCCCGAAAACTGCGCAACAAATGTAGAATAAGGATATGGAGAGAAAGTAACATAATCATGCACGCCAAGTCTAACAAAATATGAGAATTCCAAATCTAGCTCAATACACTTATTTATTTCTCTTATTTTGTTTATCATTGACCACTATGAAGGGCTGGCATGACGAGAAGACAACAGTTGCTGAGGCTTAGAACATGCTTCAGCAGTTCCAGTGCATCAACTTGAAGGTTCAGGGTTGCTAGCTTACTTTTTGAGACGACCAAGCACGTGTTTAATTTTAGAATGTGCATTTGAAGGAGTGGAGGGTGGAGGAGCATAGATGGCCATGATCAGTAACCTGCTATGTTTGGAAAACAAATATGTAATTGGTTTTTTCTTTTTTTGGAGAAGAGGGCTGCCAACATTTATTTTTGAAGTTGGATACAGTTTCCCTCCTCATATCCCTGCTGAGGACTATACAGACATAATAAGCTGAATAACATAATACTGACATTTTCACTTTTCCATTAACTTGTACTTTATGTATTCACCAGTTATCAAATTTTTTCCTAAAAAACAGATGACCATAAGCTGCTCAGGGAGGACTAAAATGTATTAGAATTAGATTTCCTCCAGTCCAAGGATGCTATAGAAAAGCTACGGAATTGACATACCATAACATTTTTTTTTTGTTTGATAGATTGAATCCAAATATATAATTCATAGCACAAATCAAAAGATGTAATCCAGACAAACTCCTATGAGGCAAAAGCAAGAAAATTCAAATCAAAGGGTAATAGATAACAAGTTGATATTGGTACAATCCAAATCATGCAAACTAAATAGCAAGCCTACAATTTAAATTCTGTAAGGTTGTAAACATTAATTTTTTTTCCTGAAATAGATATCTCAAATCATCATTTTCACTGGCACATCCCCTGACTTCTTTTTACGGAAAACATACCCAATTAGATTTTGAAATCTGCTACCATCAAAGGAAAAAACTTCAAAGGAACTAAAAAAATGGAAATGCCATTTCTATTGATTTTTTTTAATAAGAAAACCTAATTAATTAGTTGGCAACTAAAAAGGATATGAGAAAATTTAGAAACCATTGAATACTGGCGGAGTAGTATGACTCCCTTTATGTTGCAGGAAATTTGGGAAAAAATGCAGCAGAAGGAATCATTTTGTAGTAGACGCCTTCCAAAAGACATGATTAAAAAACATTCGCATAAAATTTGGCAAATAGTACATTCTGGATTCATAATAAAATCCACAGTACCAAAAACTAAGTAAAGCTTCACGTCCAAGTTGGGAGTGAATATGAACAGAATCCAAATAAATTTAAAGTAAAAATTAATTGGATGAAATCCGACCTCATTAAAGTCCAACAAACATAGTCCAGCTGACAAAACGTTGGAGGTCACTGACAATTATTTAATATTGCTTAAGCACCGTTATACCATTAAATTTAAATTCAATAAATTGAATTATTTATGGTAAAAAAAAACTCAGTATCATGCCTGCTTTTGAAAAAATCATTGCATGTGGTAACAAATTCTAGAGAAAGAAAAAGGAGGCAACATTCAGACAAAACAAGCTTTATGACGCTAATCCAGAAAATAAACTGGAGTTTAGCTTAACCCCGCAATACCTTTGAATATCAGACAATCAACGTCTTTTGCACTAGAAAAGTATAATATAGAAAGTTTTCCGATGAAACCAAAATTGAAGTTTCTCCTAGGACTAAATGATGCAATATTTAATCAATATTAATGCTTAGATGATATAAGGACTAGACCAATACCCTACCAAAGAGTCATTCATACAAAATGAAGCATGAGTACCAATTAAGCAGAGTGGCAGAAAAAGAAATTAAAAAGTAAATTGGAGCATTTTCAAAATTTATTAAATTAAAAAACAAGAAGGGGCATGACTGACCAAGCAATATGAGCTTAACCCGCCTGAGTAAGAGTGATCCAAGCTACGATCTGCCAAGAACTTTTTAAGCACTAAAGCTAAAGGCACAGAAGCAGGAAATTGTTGAGTAAGCTTTCTAACCTGCACAAGTACAAGAGATATAATGAACTTTACAAAGGTTTGACAATCTTATACCAAACATTATTCTTTATACTTAATCAAAATAGAATTATATTTCATTAATCCCAATTACTTGGTAATCTGTAGTGTTAGAGGAGAAATTTCTTTCTAATTTATAATATTCAATAGAAAACCCCTCAATTACAAATAGATGGGTCAATGCAGTAAGCCAAGGTACTAACAAATGTACTCTAAAATAACATTTTTGATGCAAAAACTCCCCATAAAATCAGAGCTCCAACATGTTCCATAGCATGGAAAGTTAAAGTAAACCCAAAGCCTTGCTAACAACAAGATGTCCATTATTAATGCATAGTAGCGTCCATTTAACTGTAAATTATTGATATACCCGAGTATGCATCAAAGAACTTCCCATTGATCTTTTTGGAAGTCTACATTTGTTGACTCAAACCACTACAACAAAGAAGAAATATAGTTTGGTAGAAATACAATTTACCTACCAACTTCCAATAAGCAGAAAAGTTCTAAAAAATTTCCTCCTTATTGGCAACAATTTGAGTGTCAATTGGCGTTAAAACAAGTTTGTAACCAAGAAGACCGATCTTCTCAAGGTCGTTTGCAATAAAAAAGATAGGCTTTCTCAAAGTCATTTGTAAATAAGAAGACAAGTGTTCTTGAGGTGATCAATCACACTCTTTAAGATAGGGAAATACCTTTATGGTAAAAAAAAAAAACTATTCCCAAAAATTAATTGAGATGATCCCGCTAAATTGTTAGAAAAAAAATTATAGGTTTAGTTTAACTTACATAAAGCCATTTCTAATTATTCTTTATAAGTAGAATGTTATGAGCATAAATTTTTAGGATAATGAATTGTGGCCGACCTAAGTGTGCTAACGAAGATGAAATGCTCAATTGTGCAACTACAAAGGTCAACCTTGACAAAAACTTCGTACAACACATCAAACCAAGCCAAAGACTACTCATGATACATTAATGAGAAGTAGATGTTAACCCAGGATAATTGATGGGATATAACAAATAAAATAGCAAAAAGTCACAACTAAGTCATTGTAGACTAGACAAGGAAGATTCATATGGAGAATCAGATGTAAGCTATGTTGAGCAAATTAGGGTTCTTACATTTAGCAACCCCTTTCTGTTAAGACTTAAAAGGGCATAAGGTTTTATAAATGATCCTATTATTTGCAATGAATGAGCAAAATTGAAGCTGCACAAACTAAAAAGCATCATCAATAAATATTTTTTATCATACTAGAAAATTGATCTTTTTTTTTCTAATACAAAGAGTGAAAGACAAAAAAACCTTCAAAATTGCATTTAAGTAAATAAAGTCGAATGTAATGAAACTGATCATCATGCAGAGTAAAAAAAACTTAAATATTACGAAGTAAACACATGACTCAAACATTAAAAATCATAATAAGAAGAAATATTAGCGTAGGGGGGACCATTAATTACTTGCATGCATGAAAAAGCACTAGGATTTAAAATACAGAATTTACTGGAAACTATTATAGAAGCCTGAGACGGTTGCATGGGAGAAAATTCTAGCGTTAAACAAGACAACCGTAATCCACCTAAGAAAGAATAACAAAAACCCTTAAGAGGTGGTCAATCTTAGAGGGACTAAAGGCATGTCAAGCAATAGAATGATGGCTAAAGTTGGACTATCAATGCTACAAAAGATGATTAGCATAATCACAATGAGAGTGATACAATCCGGTGCAAAAGTTGGCAAACAACAAGAGAGAATTAGGTGGGAAGAAATCTAAATTAGAGTTAATCAATTAATACCAAAGCAAATAAGAAAGATACAAGGGTGATCTATAATTCTAGAGGTAGATCGTCTCTCCACAAACCTAGTTGCCGCTAAGAATAAGATGACAAAAAAAACCTGTAGGATACAAAACATGAAGAAAAGCCTAGCTAATTAGCTCTCCTAAATGCCCCTTTAATCTTTCCCCCTAAATATACCCTTACTTCCCCTCCTCGTATACGTGATTAGCGGTTGATTGCGCCCAACTTGGGGGTTAAAATCACCCCTATTTTTGACAAGAGGGTTCCGTCCATTTCAGCTGGGCTGGCAGGTCAAGTTGGGTCGGTCCAAGTCGGCCCTCCTAAACCGTCTTAACAGCGGGCATATCAATACTCCCCTCTGTTGACCTCGATTTTAGTGAGGTCTAGTTTTCCTCTTAGGGTTTAGAATCTAGTCTTAGGGATCTTCCTTCGACTATCTTAGAACCTTAGAAATGGGACCCGCCTCGTTTTAGAAATCCAACCCACTTCTGTCCCTTTCTGGAGTTTCGCGTGTGTGGTATCGAATTCCCTATAGGATCTTTAAGCCTTAGGGTGACCTTTAGCACAATTCGCACTCCCGCGCGCACAAACTTCGCAATTCGGAGAGTCGACGCGTCCGATCGTCACAATTCACATCGCTTGCACTATTATTTGTCGAAGACTCGAGTAAAAAAATCGAGGCGATCGACCATGGGTCGAAGTTTTGTGAAGTTTAAATTTTGACGTGTTTCTAGCCCGATTGTCGACGACGTCGTCCGAGCGATCCCGGATGACAAAACAGACTGCACCAGCGCGTCCGGAATGTCGATTTTGCCTAGAGAGGACACTCATTTTGTTACGACACCGCGCGTGAATAAATCGCATGTGATTCAATATATATATATATATATATATATTAATTTATATAAACTGAATCTTCCTTTTACATTCCTAAGGCCCTAAATCCCTAAATCCCTAAATCGAACGCACGCAAGACCCCTACTCATTCGCGCTTCTTCCTCTCGGTCGCTTGGTCCACCCCGTCCACCCCCTTCCTCTAGTTCGCGGTTCATCCCGATCGCAGCCCTAGCCGAGCGGTCCTCCCTCTTTGTCACGAAGCTTCGGCCGAAAGACCCCTACTCATTCGCGCTTCTTCCTCTCCGTCGCTTGGTCCACCCCGTCCACCCCGTTCCTCTAGTTCGCGGTTCATCCCGATCGCAGCCCTAGCCGAGCGGTCCTCCCTCTTATTCACCACGCTTCGGC